AAAAAACCTGCATAATTATATTGTAAAAGATGCGCACCACCCACGTATATTTTGCGTTGCTACGCGCGATATGAGAATTAATCTAAATCCGAAGTAATCTAGCGAATAACAATTTTAAATGAATTTCATTTAAAATGCAAAACGCGCGTGTTTTTTTGTGCATGACACTGTGACTCACTTGTACATATTTAACTAATATGCAGTCATAAAATTAAATCTCTTTAAATTTCTCTTGTTTCGCTCTTTAATCATTTTAGTTATGGATAGATGCAAATTTTAATCTTCTTCCAAGGAAATTGTTCTCTTTAAGAAATATAGCGAGCAAGAGACAGAGTGTTACGTAGAGTCGTGAAAAATTTGCACAGCCTGTACATTATTTATTAGTTATACTATATGTATCACAGTTTATGAAAATCAGAAATGACCGTTATACAAGATAAATGACTTCGCCAAAGCAGTCTGGAGATCATTAAAAATACAGAGTAACAACGTTTACACGTACAAAAAATTTTATGTATATTTAAACTAGATTTTTTTCTCAATTCCATATCTTAACCTAATTTATATTCTCACATAATATCGCCTATTTGATCTACGAAATGAATTTGATAAACGGAATGTAATTCGACTTATATGCCTCATTATTATGCTCGCGTACGTTTTAACATTAGAAAAGAGAATCACTTCCAAACTAAATATAAAAAAATCATAACTAAGCTTCGAATCGAGATTTTTTTATATTAAAACTCCAAAAATCTATCGCTTAGTAAGATACCAGAATCCTCTCGCGAAATAGCGTAAGTGAGATGGGACGCGGTCTAATGCAAAGAGAGGGGATTCATGAAGCGTTTCTTCGACGAGCGAATGCCCGAACACGCGTGACCTCGTTCGATAGGGTCACGATACATGGGGAGGAAAACGCGGAAAACACGAGATGGCAGCACATTTCGCAACTAAGTAACAATTTTCGGCACGTTATTTCATGTTTGTTATGTAGATGTTAGAAAATACAGACAAAAAAAAAAAAAGTTGCAGACTCCACGTGATTCGAAATTTTGAAAAATCACACATCAAACAAATAATCACTAAATCTACAAAACAAATATTTTTTCTTCAAAGTATTGATTTTTTTCTGTTTTAATTAACAAGTTTACAAATATCTAGTTTATTTCAGTCGATTTATACTTGCAGATAATACAAGTAGAAAACTTTCTTGCGACAAATCTCGCGACTGAAATGTTATACGTTTTCTAATTATTAAATTGCCAGCTGTATGTAGGAGAGAACACAGTCTCGGAACGGACAAATAAAGCGTGAAACATACGCGATGTAGCGATATACAGGCGAATAGTCGCGACTAATCGATGTGCGGTACGTGCGAGCTGAAACACACGTTATCGTGGCGGTAAACACGATGGGTAAACTACTAACTAGTCCAACTAGCGGTCGTTCGACTGATGCTGAACACATCCGTTGTTTCGCAGACACGACAATGGCGCGCGTGTGCTCATCTGTTATCGTTGAACATGATTTTAATAAAATGCCGATAACGCGCACGCAGACTTCCTACGCCGGCCGGCTGAATCCGCGATAATGGAAATCTCCATCTTTCTCTCTCTCTCTTTCTGTCTCTCTCTCATTTTGCTTTTTTTTTTTACTCTTTCTTGACAAATTTCGAACCGATAACACATGTAAACGAATTCGTCTTTTTTTGTTATCAATCGTCAATTAATGAACTAAAAAATTCTTTTCGAAGTTTATTAATTGCAATTAATGTAAATTACAAAAAAAAACTTCTTTTTGAAATTTACCCATTACGTGATCAGCAATAAAAGTCTGAACATGTATATAAGTTCTATAAAAATTATGTATTAAACTTCTTTTTATCTATTAAAACAAATTTTATTAAGTTCAGTTTTTTAATATCCGCGTAACTCACAGTATTTTTAATCAACTTTCAGTCAACTTTGTTTGAAGAACTTGTGCCTGAAAATAAAATTTTCAGACAGGCAGAATTGCTCAAATATATCAAAAGAAGACAGAAAGAGTGAAAAATCTCGCGCTCTCTCAGTTGTACGCGAATGCAATTATTCTTGCTTGTACGATTCAAGGCAATTAACGCGTCATATTTTAATAGTGTCGAAGTGTGACGAGCGACTACAGTTTCTTTATTAATTTGTTCTGATTTATGTGCGCTGTAGCTCTCGCTGGACGATACTGTTCGCAAGCGGTAGATCGATAACGCGCTTCGTACGGATGATACGCGACCGAATAAATTATTCTTTCGTCAAATAAAAAAGTGCTCGATGTGCATTCGATAAATATGATATTCCACGATTTTTTCGCGTGAGAATATTACGCGATGTTTACAAGTGTTTCTCAATGTGTATAAAATTGTACGAGCACGCGAAGAATTTCTTTAAAGTGTGATTTTATTTATCTAGAACAAATAAATAAACAAACAGCGTCAATATAATTCACAAACATCCTTATTCCACATAGCACACCACACACATAATATATTCCCCGCGCTAAAAGTTTCTCAAATATAAATAAAAGCTCCGAATAAAACGTCGTTCGCGGCTAATGCGAGCAGTATGTTGCTCCGACCGGGTCTGATTTATTGGTGATATCGACGGGCAGTCGAGCTGTAGCTGTAGCGATAATATCGTGTATGAATTCGACGTGGTCGCGTACATGTCGGCGTTGTTTCGGCGGCGACGCGACGGATTTAGGCGCGTCGATAAATAACGCCGCCAGGTGCGCGAATATACGCCGAAAAGCTCGCTCGTTCGTTCGTACGAACGGGTCTTCCATGTCGGCGGCCACAGACCATAAATTAAGGTCAGAGCCAAGAGCGATGTAAGCGACAAGCCGCAAGAGAAAAAAGAAAGAGAGAGAGTGAAATAGAATGATGCGAATAGATATGCAAATCACATACACGCTCGGCTGTTTACGTCTGTCGATCTGCTGTCAAAGCAATATGCTGACGAAATAACACACAGAAAATACAGCGCGGCATAGGAGCACACGCGTAAGCATCGCACTCAGGTGATAGACAGAATTCTGTGTTCAGAACCAGAGAAGAGTTTTAGTTTTTGACAGAATTTTAATTTTTCTAAACAAGTGAAAAAACTTAGTTTCTCCGAAGAGTGTGAGAATTTACTCTTCTTTTTTAAGCTAAATTGATAAACTTCAACTATTTTAAAACTAATTTTAAAACTAATTTTAAAAAAAGACCATTATATGTTCTTCTCTCTCTCTCTCTCTCTCACACACACACACACACACACACACTCATTTTTCTGATCAAATATTAATTTAGTAGTTTTTCAAATCTGAATAATTAATAATTAATTGTACGTGATTTCAGGTATTTCTCACTAATTAAAAATTATTTGTTTTAGGTAGAATAAACAAAACAATCTGTGTGAGCAAAGTAACGAGTGAACAACGTACTCCTATGTTATATTCTCTGCAGCAATGTGCTCGCGCTTTAACTGTCATTACATTGCAGCTTCAACTTAAAACTTCGAATCCAGTTCCCGTGTAAAACTTTAATCCGCTTCTGACTCTTTAATCTGTGTACGCTCTGATCAAAATCGCGTTTACTCTGGATATAAATTATCAACGCCTCGGCCACTTTTTGATACAATATATAAATCGAAAACCGCGTCTGACAAAAGTATTACGGTAATAACGTGTTTAACCGCAAGAAAAACAACGAGCGATACGATACTCGAGAAGCCTTTGGTGAACAAGTGGCCGACTTGGAGAGTAACGTGTACTGCGGCATATGTTTCAAGATGATATGCTTGCGCACACCTTCAGCTACATTATTGAGTTTCCCTTTAACCTCGTGTGATTCCCCTAGACCAGAATCTTCTCTGAAACAATCGCTGCTCAAAAATCTTTGCTCCTTATTTGTTGGATTTATGTGCTTTATTTAACAAAGCTTCAAGGCAAAATATTTCTGAGAAGTCTGTTTTTTTATAAGACAGAGAGAGAGAGAGAGAGAGAGAGAGAGAGAGAGAGAGAGAGAGAGAGAGATGAAGAGAAAAAAAAAGAGTGCACTTACGCGTATATGTATATCGCGGATCGAAAAGCCAGCAGAGTCTGTAAAATAATAGGAGCAAAACCAGAAGCGACAATTAGCCGCAGGCGAGAAATGACGCTTCTCCGAGGTGCTGGCCAAATTGGAGGTTAACCTGTCACTCGATGGCAGATCGATTTTATGGCGCGCGAGGGCGGCGGAGGGAGAAGGAGAAAGGCGCAGGCCACCGATCGCCGCGCGACCACGAAGAAGCGATTACTTATTATGTAATTTCTGGCACTCACCTGATCCGCGAGTCGTGCGTACGTGCGGCGTAACTGGTGCGGCTCGGTGCGGGTGTATTGTTTCGTCCGTAGACAGCGGAGAAGAAACGCAGACGGTGATTATGCAGAGAGAGAGAGAGAGGATGTGCGGGAGAAGCGGCGAGGTCACACACCGTGGCAGCCACCGATGCGATTCCGACGACGGCGGTGGCAGCGGCGGCGGCGGCGATTGTACACTCCGCGTTTCGCGTTTAGCACGGCAGCGTAAAATGAGAGAGAAAGAGAGAGAAAGAGAAAAAATGTCAAACTTTATCACGAGTGCAGCATGATGCGCGACGGGACTGCGGACTGCGTACGACAACGACAGGACAGAGAGACAACGACGGGTACACTCGCGCGGCACCACCGACACTCAATGACGTCATACCACCGGCGGCAACATGGAGCCCGCCGCCGACATACACGCGACGACGCGACACGAACACTACGACACGACTATTACGACGGCCACGACGGCACCCGCCGCGCACTCCGACCGCTCGCTTCTTTTAGTCGCAACCGTCGCTCTGTGCCGCCTAACCTCAAAACGTCAGCGCTCGTACCCGTGAGTGTGACCAGCCGCGGCAACGGACGCACCCCGTGCGCAACGGCGGCGAGACACGAACCCGAACTGAGACGAAGTCTCGACCGAGTCGCACCGAGTCGGCCCGAGTGCGGCTTCGACCGCCGAGTTCTCCCATTGGTCACACATCCGCCCTGTCGTCGTAGTTCGCGTTCATTCGGTCGCTCTCGTTGTAAACCAAAAGTTATTCCGGTAGCGTGAACGGTGTGTTGAGGTTGTAATTCCGCGATCGGTTGACATGTGAATTTTACCTAACCTAACCTTTTATATCCGTGCTTCGCGTATTAAAACTCATTTGATTCCCTCTCGTTAATAAGACAAATCTGGCTCATTATTTTAGTAGCGCGAATCGTCGAGACAAACATGAAGACAAATACAATTTCCGGAGTAATCGCGCTCGACCGCGCTTGACTTTATACGCGTGATTCGACAGTGAATTTTGCTTCGGTGTGAACGCGACGTATTTTCGATTTCTTGATTTTTTTCGATCAGTTTCCCGCCGGCGTAGCGAAAAAACAGAAGTAACTTGCACAGTAAGATACAACAAATGATAAATAACGAAAGCTTTGTGTGTGTGCACACAAAACATTTTGTAAATGTGAAGTAACTCCGATGCAATTTGCATGCATATCGGAGTTATTTTGCATTGTAATTTGTGTTTTTCAAGGTTGCCAAGTTAGTGACTTTACGATTCGTGAATTTTGTAGTCGCGCGAATTTTTAGGAACGATCACACACGTATCCAAATAAAAACGACATTTAAACATTTGTGTCTCAACTAATTCTCGTAGAATCGAAGTTACATAGAAAAATAAAACCCGCGTTACACACATTGTTACGTAACTAAGTAAGACATTTGTGTTCTTTCACAGTTTTTCATTCAAGATGACGTCATCCGTTTACGTCTCCCGCATAAACCAAATCGATGCCGCTGAACTAGACTTGGAAATCTACAACGTTCTGAAGAACCAGACCAAAGAAATCACCAAATACACTCCACCCGGTATGATCGACAAGTGGCAAGCGGAAGTGGACGTTATTCTGAAATTTCTCATATGGAAGTTTTCGCTGCATCACGGCTCCTCCACATTCGGACAGCGACTTCTCAATCTGCAATATGCCAACATCTCTGAGAAGAAAGCTGTTCTTTACCTGATCCTAACTGTTCTACCTCACTATCTAAAAGACAAATTGTCCACTGTGAGTTCTTCGGATCACGTGATCGTTCAGAAATTGAAAGTTTTCGTCGATTGGACAGCGAACGTGATCGGTCTCATAGAGATCGTGAATCTGCTCGTTTTTCTCCATCGAGGTATACAACCGCGCGTGATTGAGCTTATTCTAGGTCTTAACACTCGGTCGATAACGACTCATCGACCCAGAATCATTGGCTACTCGTATATGACGAGAGAGCTGCTGTGGCACGGACTGATGGAACTCTTTACTGTCGGCTTACCTATGATAAACTTCCACTATCTGAAGCACGTTGTAACGAAATTGTGGCGACGTAAGCCAACGATAAGAAGGTCGTACCCAGTGTTAGACGCCTCGACCAAGTGTGTCTACTGTGGCGAAAATCCGATTCTGCCGTCGCACGCCGGCTGCGAGCACATCTTTTGCTATTACTGCTTGCGAGCCCACTTCACGGCGATGAGGGCATTCTCTTGTCCCGGTTGTAACGTGGAACTCCACACCGAGGATATGAAGAGATACACGATCGCGAGTACGTTTTCGAGCGACGACGAAGAATCGGATGACAGTTTCGTGAAGGTGGACGATGGATGATAAACGTATGTACAGTTTTAGTTTTCAAAAATAAATAAAGTGATATGAGCGGTGATTGGAATAATATGGTGATGAGTGTAAGTGCACACAATAAGCTTTAAATTTATTATATTTTGATTTTAATAAAATAAAAAAACGTATCTTTGAATTAAAAAAAAAAACAAAATTGTTTGATATTGCAAAAACAGAACTAGAGTCTTAGAAAAACAAAATTTGCAGCTATGATCAAAGTTGAACAACAAATTGTTGAAATAAAACGAGTGTTGATTTGTCGAAACGCGCGGCAAATGAAAATAAAAGTACAAACATTTTATATTAAAAACATGTTATAATATAAATATAATTAGTACAATTGTTAAAAGAAAATTAAAAATATAAAAAAAATGAAAAAATTACAAAGACAAAATTTGTCTCTTTGGTTGTACAATTGTTTGTTGATAGATAACGTCAACAAAACAAAGATAATAGGATGTATTTTTGATTGTAGGAAAAAGGAAAAGGGATTGTGTGTACGATATTTATCAATATTTATTTATTAAAAATAGCAATATACAAAATCTTCTTTATTTTTTATTTCAATACAACAAATCCCAATTATCGGGCGACTAACATTTTGTTTCTTTAGTATTTCTTTATTTTCGAAATAAACACTAATAATAATAGATCAATATATATTATTCTGCCTCTTATCAAAATTAGAATAATTATTATATAAAAATATTACGCTGCGCTATATATATATATTATTATAAAACGCTTCACTTGCCGCCGCACAGGTCGACGAATCGATCATTTACATGCAAAAATGACACGTTCATTAATTAATCTATCGTTCAATTGCTGCACCTGCGCTCGATGGGCGGGTACGTCCCCGGATTTATCACACGTGAAACGACATATAAGCACTTAGCACTATAGCACAGAAAAAAACGCAAAACACATACACATAAATTAACAGTTTCCATTCGCCTCTCTTATATAACGTTACAAATTTCATTTAAATTCAAACTCATCTTTTTTTTTTTGGAATGTGTGTGATTTAAATATACAATTGCATATAACGCGATTTCTTTATCAATTTATGTACGAAACAGTTTGTTTTTCTTTTTTGAAAGATGGTACTTTAATTTTTTTTTAAGACATGCGCGTTTATATCTTAAACTCTTTCGCTACACTTTAATACTAATCTCAAAAAATTTATCCCCAAAAACCTGACCAAAACGCATGTACGCAATTTTAATTTTATTTTTTGTCTCGATTTGCTTCACTTTTCATCATAATTAGAATTGCTCTTGTAGAAACATAGTTTTCTTAAAACATTGTGTCGCTCCTTTTGCGAGTCAAATGTCTTGATTATTCCTCGCGGTTTTTTTCGTATTTACTCCACGCTTAGGCAAAAGCGCGCAATAAAATTTCCAGTATTTGGAGCATTAAAGAACAAATGAGAATACGTAACGAGGCCCCCATTACTTCTATTGACTTTTATGTGGAGATCATTTGCGCGCAGTGCATTAATTAACTGCTTTGAATTGTGATGATACCAAAAAGATCAATATACGATCAATTTCGATTGAATTGATGACTTTCATGATTCTCAAATTGTGTTTTTGTTTTTGTGTTTTTGGTGTTCTCTTTGCGTTTTTTTTAGCTTGTCGATAAATTACACAAATATCTGCGAGTTAATTAAAGATCTTGATACATTGTATGCACTATGGTGGTCGTTATTAAAAACTCAAAAATATTGATCTTGTAGTTGAGAATAATCCATTACGTAAAATTATTGTTCACTGGAGTTAAATCAAGCTCGCCCGCGCCGCAGCACATTGGATGATTTAATTCCGATAATTAATTAATTGTCGTAATTGAATTAGATTTACTCTTTCAATTTTAATTTTGCAACTACAAGATTAAATTTTCGAGTTCTTAATGCAAATATCATAGATTAGTCCGACGAATTCTTTGATTATAAATCAATATCTTCAAATCGTATAAACAATCGCACATATTTCTCGGTAGAACAATGTGATTGAATTTTTCGCGCAAGAACTTTTCACACACATACGCTCTGTGCGAGATGTTCAAGAAATTAGATAAGAAAAAATATTTTCAAATCCACAGGTTTTGATACGATAAAATAACAATATTTAAATAATTCGTCTACTGATATTTTATCTCTCACTGTTTCTCACTCATGACGTAAAGACATATTGAAGAAATATATATTTACGACATGCTATACATAGAATTTGATGATTTGCAGATTGTGTTCTGTAAATCGCATTAACTCCGGCTGAGTGATGTCGTTGTTTTTACAAGGGAAAGAGAGGAGAGAGTTTCTATGTGTCACATGTATATTTGATAGATACGAAAAGTGTCTTCTCTCTCTTTCTTTCTCTTCAATCGATTAATCAGGACGCTCGAGCGCAAGCTAGAAAATTTTTGTTTTATCGTCGTGTCGATCTTTTCTTTGCGTTTCCTTTTCTTCAACGCTGATTTCTGTTTTGCTATATACACACGACATGTATATACTAATGTACACACTATATACGCGCGTATACACAAATTATTTCCACGCGTTCCCAGGAACATATTGAACAGCTTTCTCACAAAAGTATATAATTCTATGCAAAGAAATCGTCGATTGCTAAACGACAAAGAGACGATCTTGTCACGCAATGTTTTCATTGTTTTCAAGTGTTTGTTCATTTGTCGCAGAATTCGCAAAAGCAAAACTGAGATACTACACAGAAGAAAGACAAGTTAGAATTTCGGAAAATTATAATTTTCTCGATTTTGTTTCTTCAACTATACATCCTGCCTCCGCGAGATATTCTTTAAAAATATCCTCGTAATTTCTTCTCACCATCTTATGAGATTATTTATTAGACAGTCTAAGTGAGAGAATGGAGTGCCGATGATTTTACAAAACAAGTGTTGTTTTTCTCAGTTTCGAAAACGTACGCGCGCTACTTCGTTTTATATTTACGATTCTTTACGTATACGTTAAATGTATACGCGTATATATTTTAATCCGCAGCGTCATTGAATTGTGTTAAACATAATTCTCTCGTTCCGTCTCGCGTACTTTTCTCTACAGAATGTCATCTTTTTCTTCGAAGAACGCTCGTTGTTGTCGACAAGACACGTTGCAGCATTCCTTTTTTAGTTACAATGATCAGTATCACAATTCATCACTACCACTAGAAGTGTTATGTTTTCTCCCTTGCGAAGAGATGGGCAGCAACCTGGGGCGGCATAACGGCAGGCGCAACTGGATGAATGTGATGTGCGGCATTTATTAAGATACCGTGAAAGTCTCGAGAACATCGTAAAAAGATGTTTGACTTTAGGTTCTAAATTTTCCAAAACGCTTTTAGATGTCGTAAAGCTGGCGAACGAACAAGAATGCGGAACTGATCAGTCGCATCGATTTAATTGGTCCAAACTACTTTACTGGACCAAGTAAATGTATTCGTATTCGCTGTTCGTTCGATACTCGTTTGCTAGACGTCTTGTATCAACCTTTATAATGTGGTGTGTGTTCTAAAGATTAAGATCAGTTTAAGACTGAAACAATGGTCTAGAAATTAGAGATGTTTGACATGAAGTAAATTCATTAAAAGTTTCGTTGTGTCAGTAAAGTAATACGTAGAATGTAATGAAAACTTTATATTATTGCGTTTAAAGATTTAGAAAATTTAGTAAGAAAATAAAGAGAGACAAAGAAAACGCAGCATATCACGTTCATCCACTTGTTTTTGCAACTGTTATCGTTATTTGTAACAATCGAGTTTCACAATTGCAATGTGATTTCGCTACAAATTTTAGATTATTATCATTGAACGAAAAACAAAAGAAAAAAAAGAGAAACGAATAACAGAACCGGACAAGTCCAATATTTATATCACACGTATATTATGCGTAAACATTCTCTTTAATGATTCTTTTTTAAACTCGCGAGCGCATAAATAATTTACGCTTAAAAAGATTTCGCAAAAGACTTAGTCAAGAACTCTTCGCAGTAAAATCGTTCGTTAGGTGTGTTCGATCGGCTTGTTCGCGCAATCCTGTCTTTGGTTATTACTTATGATTTTTGTTTCACGCAGGATCCTCTCGCAATCCACATCGTTGATTAGTAGTAATCTCGCGACACAATATTTTACGAGATATCCGACTTTTTCTTCACATTCTTTGCAGAATAAATAACAATCTACTTTCTTTGTTTGTAATTTTGTATACTAACTCACAAATAATGACTAACGCGTTGTATGCTGATATCTGAATAGTATGCGCGATCCCTAAGATTCGTTTACCTAACGCTTTTTAAATTTACTTGTTTCCCAAAAAAAAAAAAAAATCACAAAAATATATATATATATATAACGCTTAAAAAAGTTTAATAAATTATACCAAGAACGAGATATATCTCTCTCTTATGTCTATAAAACAATCGTTTTGCGAAATCGGTTATTGCCAGCAAAGCTCTCGAGACACGCGAGGATAATTGCAAACTCAAAACTTGGCAACAGTTCGCTCTGTGGCTATCCTTCCGGAATGTCGAAATTTTAATGTAAATACATATAGTAGATGGAAACCAAAATTATGCCTTTTCTGGTTCAAATCTATTATCATCATAACTTGTATAAATATAGTTTAGCAAAATTATACTAAAAACAAACACCTTTACACAATTAGAGTTTAATGAAATGCAAAACATCGGCTTTGCGTTTTCGAATATCGATATGTAAATCTGTAAATTTTTTTTATAATTTTTATATTTTTTATATTTTTGTATATGTTGTATTTTTCTAAATTTAAAACAAATTTTAATTGTTTTAAATTTTCTACTTTTTTTAAATTCTTTTGCTTTATATATTACAATTTTTTTAGATTTTTTTTATGACTTTGCCAAGTTTAGAGTTAACGATCCCTTTTCGATTTAACAACGAAAGTTTAATTGACGCGACGAGAATCGTCGTTAATTACAGCCATCGATAAAAAATTCGATTCAACCGGATCGCAACTATCGCTCGCGATACAGAGAATGGCTCGCGAAATATTTGCACTATAGAATTCGTTTGACTATACCGTTGTCTGTTGACACATGCTTTACACGAAAAGTTCTTGCGGTCCATTGATTGACGTGCGTCCAGCGTCTTTCGCGAAATAATTAATAAATACTCCATAACTTATACTTTTATATATCTTGTAAAACTCGAAATTCCAACCGCGCGCGGAATCGTACCGTTCGCATGATTGCATTCGACTGTTGAAAATTCGTCGAAAATCTCGGTCGACTCGCGGTTGCATTCAAGCTTAGTCTGAATTAAATACATGTTAATATTTTTGCTAGGACGAAAGGCCGCTGAACACACGGGACATCCCTCGCCCATCGCAGTTTATTCTAATCTTCTAAGATAATTGATAACTTTGTGTTTATTTTTACTCAAAAACATTTGTGCCCGATACAATTTACACACACGTGCACGCAATTCACTCCCACTCACACACACATACACCATTCAGTCATCAAATGGACCATCACACGGTATATAAACGAATGAAACGCGCGCGTCGACGTTTCGCGGTTTTTTTTGTTTTCTTAAGCGTAATAATTACACGATATTTTCTCGCAGTTTGTACGCTTGCTTGAAAGCGTTACTCGGATCGCAGAATAGACAGGATCCTACGTTTACGAGACGAAACGGTAACGACGCATGCGCGACAACAACATAGCGAAAATTAATATAATTAACAATTATCTCCTACATTCTAAGGCGCGCTTCTGCGCGCGCCGAGAACAGCAAAAAAAAAAAATTAAAGAAAAAAAGATACAGCCAGTCCCCGGCTAGAAAAATAACTCTCTCCGTTAAGTCTTCTCGTGTTTCTTTTTTTTTTTTGTTTTATCCCTAAATAATTCCTTAAACTCCCTATATAAATTTTTCATTAGCATGCAAATTATTGTCCTGTCTATCCCGCATCTGTGTCGGACTCGCGCGTGACAGATAGGTGAAAAAAACACCGCCTTCTATATTTCTTGCATTCTCTTTGCATTCTTTTCGACCGGACATTCGATATATAACAGCGGTTTTCCGCAATTTGTATTTACGAACGGCGTGATTTAAGTACGTATGTTACTTTTCGTCAGTTCGAGAGCGGTGATATGCCGTCGTGTTTGAAACAAATAACTTACACAGCAAGCACGCTTTTATTTACCACTTGGTATCTAAGTTGGTGCACTTGCCGATCGTTGACGTCGACGTTGACGACGAAGACGCCTTTCGCTCGGCACCTGGCGCGGCGCTTCCCGAAAACGGGCTGCTGCGTTTGTTTTTCATTTCTGAAAAAACCAAATTAGTAGTACAGAAAAAAATAAATACACAAATAGAACACAGAAACAACACAAATAACATTTGTTTATTCTTCTGCCAATGTTTAAGTAACAGGCTTTTTTTCGCATTATTTTTTTTAAATTTGTTTGGAAGGGTATTCCTTCATATACGTGATGCAAATCTAGCATCCTATATGATTACTAGAATTGAAATTTCAATTCAAAAAATTCATGTGTAGAAATTTACATGTGAACATGTATATATATATATATATTTTCCACACAACATCCTGAGCGAACGGCTCTTATGACCGGATTTATATTTCGAAGTTTTAAAAAATTCAGAGTCCGAATGATTCATTCTTTATTAACAGGGCTTTTTTTAATCAAAACACAGTACAAACGTAAGAAAATTAATATTATTTATATATATAAACGTAAGATGTTACCATCTATTTCTTGTAATTGCACGCGGTTTTCGAAAGAATTTTTCATAAAAATCACGACGATGACGTGGTAATTTAGAAAGAAAATCTGTAAAAAAGAATTTAAGTGAACTTATCGTTTTAATACTCTCTGTTAACAAATGTGCAAAATATTATGATTTAATATATGTATGTGCCGTAAATTTCCAGAACGAAGTTCTCTTTGCGTCTGGCATCATCGTAACACAATGAAAAATTAATTCAACATGCAAACGTCATTAAAAATTTAAACATATCACTCTTGTTCTGCATGCATTCTCAAAAAAACATGTAATAATGAATAAATAAAGTATTAGTTTGAAGGAAAATACAAATTTTAAAGAAAGTTTTATCGAGTACTGTGTTTTGAGTAGATTGTTATGTAAGCGTACATGTGTGTGTGTGTGAATGAAAATTGTTAAAATAATTGAAGTTATAAAGTGAAGCTGCTTACATGTACGTAATCTACGTACCAGATATTAGCAGCATTATCTTGCGTCTCGCGCCCCAAGCAGTAATCCCAATTTCGCAGAGATCCTTCTCAGTCAGAGAAGGAAACGTATCCATGTCTACCTCGTGAGATGTGAATAAGCCTGATGAAAGAGGAAAACAAAATGGTGCTGTTCTTAAAGCAAAAGCAGAAAGTAATGAAAGCAAAGCAATAGCATAAGCTGGAAACGGCTTGCGATGGTTTACCATAATTATAACTCGCCTAAACTCAAGTATCTGTTTCTATCTCTGTTCGCGTATTATTTCTCGAAACACTTACGTATATATTTTTCCAAGCCGATGCTGGTCAGCATGCTAGCCAAGTCGTTAAAGCGATGCGACGACGTGATCTTGTTCAAATGGGAGGTTGGCGTGTGGTCCATGTAATTCGAGGCCATCCCGATCTGTCCAACGCGATCCTTGCTCGAGATAATACTACCGAAGTCCATCTCGGTATTGAATACCGGCGTGGTCGGTTCTATTTCTTTCCACAAGTCCGAGGGATGTGACGTCAACTCCTAAGTTTATATTAAAAAAACATTCTGACGTCAATATCTTGATACAATAAATATTTCAAGCACTTCATGCAAAATCCAAGAGAGTACAAATTTTTTTTATCATCTATATTTTTAACAAATCAACGCACAGTCACCTTGTTTAAGTCGCTCGTAGTTATAGGCGGGATACTTTGACTCAGACCGTAACCAGACCAAGCGGACGTTGGCACGCGAAAATCACTGCTGCTCGGTTTGTTTTGCATCGCTTTTGTGGCCAACAGCTTTTTTTGCTCGTAATCAAAAGGTGTAAGATTCTGCTGCGCGGCCATTTCGAACGATTTCTTTTCGCAACCAGGTGCACGTCGATCGGGAACCGATAATTCGGACAGCATGTTGGATAAATCCGCTGTAAAGAACAATTATCCCGTAATTAATTCAGAATCAATAAGTCTAGATAATCGAACACAAAATTTTACTTACCTAAAGTAGGACTAGTGTCTGTAGGATTAACTGGTGAGATGTTGCGAGGACTAATAGCTGGACTAGATAGAGAACTGGACACGCTACTTAGCGATGAGTAGGCTGTAAATAAGTTTATTAATGCGTACAAATAAATTCAGTTTGAACGTGTACTAAAATTGTCAGACAACTACTCACCACTGCTACTCTCTTTATTATCTGCGAGTGATGCGCTCAAACCGTGGATACTAGAGAAATTGGTAGACACACCGTTAAGATTCCCAATGCTAGACATTGTGTGATTTGATAATCCGTGAGAGTTGTGAGAGTTCCCCATTATACTATTGTGTAGCATTTGCTGCGTTGTTAGCAGATGATTAAAATGGGGATACGGATACGAACACATAGATGGAATATAAGTGAGATGATTCCAGGACGGTGAGAGCCCTAAGGAATTCTGCGAGTGCGAGATTGGCGACACGCAGTACGAGTTCTGCGTGCTCGTGTTCAACATGCTTGAGAGATTGTCCACGTTGCTCATGAGATTGGTAGTGCCTAATCGAAAAAAAAAAAGAAAACGCATATAGTGGCATTTGGAACATTTCTTGCGAATTCTTCAATCGTCTTAATTCAAAAACATGAGATGTTTTTATTGAATTACACAAATCAGTAAACTATATAAAAGGACAAAATGTTTTAAAAAATTGAAAAAAAAAAGTTTGACATTACAACAACCCGACTGATTATATTTTCTTTCGATAACGAATGATTTTGATGATCGGCACTCACCGTCGGTGTTATTATTGTTGCTTTGGAAGACACTGCCCGCGTTCGGAACGTGATAAGTAGGCGGTATCTCGGCGTGGACTCTGGGCTCTTCCAATCCTAAGAGTTGTTTCCGTGCTTCATAAATATTGCTGGCATTTCTCTCGATTCCCTTGATAATCACGGAAAGTGTGCTTTGTTTCGGTTTGTGCCGAATATTAATAAACACGTCCAGAGATTGCATTAGTTGAGAAATTTTTTCGGTATCCACGGAAGCGGTCATAGAGTCTTCCGGCAAGTCGAACATAAGTACCAACGGTAACGATCCCTGAAAACATACAAACAACACATTCTGTACAGCTGAAGAAAATATTGATTCTTGTTGAAATTTGTTTTCTGAATGAAAAAAGAAAACGAATAATTTCAATATGTGTATCATAGAACAAATGAAGATGCAAAAAAAAACTTGGCATTATAATTGCAGAGGCTCGAATGCAAACATATTTGTCTCACCACTAATTGTTGTCGAGCCAAGTAAACATTGTGAATGCCGCCAGTAATAGTGACGTTGCTCTTCTTGAGGCTGGGTATATTCGGATCGCCTGCGTCGGGAAACATAATCTGTGTGACGGTACGTTGCATGATCATTTTCAAATTGCTACTTTGTTTCCCTAGTACGATGCTGTGATGTTGCGGTGAGATCTCCATTGACATTTGTACTTGAATTTGACTCTGTGAAGAAGAAACGCATTCACGGTGTGATATTAATTCTCTGTATAGATAAAAACGGTCAGTTCACATTCAATTATGGTTTTTTTTTTTTTTACTCACAGCTAGATTTTTGCACATAAAACGTATCAGCAGGAGTGTCGCCTCTTTGACTTGAGAAACTTCCCATTCACATCCTTTGACGACTACTAGGGTGGCGTGCAGTTTCGGTCTCGTGCGAAACATCACTTGTACGTTGTACTTCTCTTGTATTTTCACAACGTACGGCGATGTGCAATCCGGCGTGGCTTGTGACGCGCCCATAATTGGCAGTTCGAACGAAAAGATCAAAGGCGTCAGATTCTAAAATGCAAAAGGGAGATCAGGCGATGCTTCGCGGCTTTTTTTTTTAAGGTGGGTACATAGTGACCGAACGAACAACGAAAACTTTACATCTGAAGCACGCAAAGAGGACGTTCGTTGTTCGTTTGTAACCCACTTTTCTATAAGATTTCCCAAAGATTGTCTAATTTTTTTTTCTCTTCACACCATGCAATACATAGAGATTTTTTTATTTTACTTTATACAAACATATAATATTTAATATTTAGTACTAAATCTTTTTTTTTTCTCGATACCGTGGTGCCTGAAATAAAAGTTCTCTGTTAAGGTAAACTAACACTCATACGTATCTCAAGTAAAGGTTTTTCACTTTTCGTGTACTTTAGGATGGTCGTTCAAAATAATAAGCTTTCATTGTTTTGCGTAAGTTAAATATAGATATGATAGATGTTCTCCAAACGTTATTCGGTTATATTAGTTTCGATTGCTAGTATCATTGGTATAAGGTTTACGTTTTTTTACACATGTAAATCTTGCGAGAAAGCTCACCCTAACTCGAGCGCGAGCGCGCTCAACGCTCTCCATTTCGCCAGCAATCGAGACCTGATTACTCTTATCCTGGTGATTACTGCGATTACTGTCTGGGAAATGGATGTGGCAGCCGGTTTCCTCCATCACTTTCTTAATCGTCAGGCCGCCCTTGCCAATGATGTGCGAATGGTCGGTATAACTAACGTCCAGTTTCATGGTCACTCTGTTACTTTGCTGAAAATCAAGGTGCAAGGTTGTGATTGTTTGTTTCTCTATCTGTTGATTATCTATTTATGTCAACAATTGTCTTGCCAAAACTTATCACCAATGATCTTAACTAATTTTTAAACTAACAACGCGAAATTTAACTTAGTTTCATATTATTATTACTGATTGACTTTATCGCTCCAGCGCGCTTATGACAAAGTGTGATACTTACTACGCGTTTTCCATTCTATAAATTTGTGTGAAATAAATATAATATAGTATACATAATACGAGCGTATATACACTTAATGACAAAATTTAAAAAACAAAGTAGTACTTTTAACATTTAAATCACTGACGTTAAATAGGACGTCGCACATTATTTCTGAAGTTATTTCCGAATGAATTTACTTTCATCGCTCCACGGAATTTTTTACCAGTCAGTAATATATATATATTTGTACACCAAAGTTCTTAAATAAACTGCTTTGTTTCTTAACTCTTGTCAGTAAGTGTACATGTTCTTTGGGAACGTCTATTTTTCGAGGGCGTATATCTACGCTCTTCGGAGCGAAAGAGATAATTTCAAATGAGGAAAATCTCGTATCGACGATTAAAGAACCTGTTAATCTGCTGAGAGAGAAAGTGCCCGCCTTTCGATAGCATCTTCTACATATTTATCTATATAGTTGTTTACACTTTTGCGCGTTTCAAATCTCGCGTGAATGTCTCTTTTCGCGGATTTGTTTTTAAATTTCTATAGCATTTCGCGCGCGGACGGAGGCATTTCCGTTAGCTCCAAGATCGTCGACTCCACGTGCGTGAGACTCTTGTAGCATATCGCGCGCCGCCGATCCGTCGCGAAGCGCGACTTTAAATATCGCGTGGCCGAGCGTTACATAAAGTCACGCGATAACGTGGCGCGATCCGCGCGCGTGCTATTTCAGATACACTTCTTCCTGATCGTATAAAACGAGAGCCGTCGCGGTATATCTTACCCGCTCGGAAACGCTCAGAAAATCTGAACGTATATCTTAATGAGAAAATTAATCTGATTAATTCAGTAATAAAAATCAGCTGTTTTTGTAAAAACACGTGTAAGAAAATACCGAATTAACCGGTTCGTGGCCAGACCTCAAAAATTACGACAAGTTGGCTAGATCGGGGGTTTGTGAGACCCACGCGACTTTAAGATCGAATATCTTCGCGAAAAATCAATATTGTTTTCAATTTTGGTTTATTGAATTGAAAATTTGAACAATTCTGCGTCGATTAAAAAAATTAAGTGAAAACAATCTAATAGTTTCGAAGATGTAAGCGTTTAAAAATACCCAGTTTTTTTAGAAACGCTGATGCGTAATTTTTATGTGGGTCTGGGAAACCTACGTCTGGACTTAAAGTGTTAAAACTTCGAGGGTAGTGTTTTGTGAATGTATGCAGAAAAGAATATAAAGACGATAATTTCATAAATCCGAAAAAAAAAAACAAAATTTATAATTACACAAATCTCATAAACGTAGACACGCGCTATAATTGTTCATACAATTTGCACAGCACGTGTGACCTATTATTTAATTGAGCATATTATCTACTTTGCGATAGCGATGTTGAAGCTTAAATAAAAAATACACCGCTCCGTCTATCTGTCTGTGTCGTATCCTGTTTAGCTTAGATATTCAGTGTGATTCGGCACATGCGCGAGCGGAACGATGTGGTGGCGACCACAGAATTCAGGACATCGACACTCCGCATCGGCGCGGAAAGATATTGCATATTCGCGCACGTGTCCAACTGTGCTCTATAAATACCGATGCGCTATTTACGCGCCATTCGCGTTCCGTAATTAGCGCTATGTACACAGCGTCGCTATCCTACTGTTTTAGATTGCGCTTAGACGCGCAGAGCATCTTTGGCGTTTATTTTAGATCTCATCTCCTGTGCACAGCCGCAACGCGATGAATAGGAAGAGAAGTACCGGCGCTAAGTTTTTGTCCTTTGTTACTCGACACACTAGGGGCACATGCTTCTTTTTTCTCGCGTACCTTTTGCCTCGCTTCCTGTTCCTCGATCAATTCGTGCCTCCGGAACGCACTCACGTCGGAATGCACATTCGACAGAATAACAGGAATCGATCGGTACGCTCGGTATGGGTCAGTGAAAAAAAAAAAAAAAAAAAGACGGTAAGTTTTTTTTTTTGACTCGCCTGTCGCTTTGCGACTTAACGGTAACGGGACCAACCGATGACGTCTCGTCGCATCGTTGTGGTTTTTTCGGCGAAGAATGTTCACGCGGAAACGAAGTACGGAGTGAAAAATGTTCGTTGTTACAAATCGCTTAAAAAAAAAATAAATCTCCAAGCGAAAATTAAATCTGATTAAAGCTGGGCGTAATTTAAATATCGGAATAATTCAAATCACATTTTGTTTTCAAGTTTAATGTTTATTTAAATTTAATTTTCACTGCTTTGAGATTTGTTTCTTTGCGTTCTCTTAAGAAAGCGAGTACGTTGAGTGTCTGATTGGTCGAGATGTTCTCATGTCGTTTTGCGTGCAATGGCCTTTAGCCTCTTTCTCTTGTCTCTTTCGCTCTCTCGACGTGGCGATTCGGCTGCTCGTCTAGACGTGACGATTCGCTTTCTCGCCTTGCGAGAATTCGCAACCGCGAACAGCGATATATAAATAGACCGAGTTGTTCGCTCTGCATAATTTTTCTTATTTTTCTTCACTACCGCCTAATTTTTTTTCGACTTTTCTTATTTACAACGTGTGTTTGATAATTAAGAAACATGTGAAAGAAAAAACAAATGATCGTACGTATGAGTCGGAAAAAGTTGATCTCAAAATCTACTTTTTCGATTTGACGACAAGAATCTATTGAATTTTGAACGTCAACGCTAATTTTTTGTTCGGATAAATAAACTTCCTAAAAATGTTTTCAATTATTTCCTAAGAATTTTTTGAATTATTATTTTTATCATCCGCTGACTAAAATCAGATATGTAACAAAACCTCTAAAAAAAACGTCTCTTTGAAAAAGTTCAATTTTGTTATACGACGTAAAGAACTTACCCGTGTGTCCAAGACTTCCATTATTTTTTCTTTTGCTGCTCGTACGTCATCCAGTCGTCCTGCGACTTTTATGTGTGGATCTGTGTACAGAAAAAACCAGAAAATTGAATCAGTGATAATCGTATTATCAAAAGAATAAATATAGAAGGTGGCGAGTCGCGTCTTTGTGACACCTAGCAATCATTTGTAATTGTTCTTTTCAATTATTCACGGCTGAATTTTATTCTACAATTGGAAAAATATACGATAAATACTAGTCGTATTTTCGTAATATTGAAATGCCAGATTCTTCTAACGTAAGAAATTTATGATAAGGAATATTTATTTTATTGTATCTATATATACAGTAGAACCTCCCAAAACGTATACTTCTCCTATTCCCTCACTCTTTAACTAAATTATCAACAACAATTATTGCATCGACCAAGTTTTTAATATTATTTTGTCGATACCGAGATATCATTTGGTCGACATACTCACCGGTTTATATATGTAACAAGGAAAGATTCTCAATTTTCTTGTACAAGTCACGCAATATTTCCGTTTTTCGTAGAAAACGGAGTGAAATTTTTTTTCAGAATGACAACGAACTTGTCCTCTCGATCGGATAAAAGAAAGTCACAACCGACAGACACTGAAGCAATATTTAAACTGACTGGATGAAAATATTTGGCAAACACTATCGATGATATTCAAAGTCGCTCAATGTTTATGTGTTGGTACGTCGATGAATAGATAGACCCGCGTCGATTAGGTCAGTTGTAAACGATGTCTTGCCAGTGATTTCGCGGTGCAATTGCAAAACCACAATTTATTCGAATGAAAAGAAGACATTGCTGATGAGGATCAATCAATGGTTATTTTGAAGCAACAAATGTAATTAATATTTGAGGCGCAACGCGCATGTTTCTTCCTGAACGGCAACCTTCGACTTTACGAACGTGTTCCAAAGTCGAAGCGCGGCGACGAGTGTCATTGACGGGTGCATAATGATCGCACGTCTCGCACTATTTGAGTTTTGTCACGCACATGGAGATATTTTACAATTAGTAATTTATCTACTTAAGATGTTTGAACATAGTTCAGCATTCGAGGGATTGGTCGTCGTTAAACGGAAATAGCCAATACGCAACAGAAATATGATAATACATTCGATACGTTAGGAATGTGAGTGGAAAAACTAGTTACGTAGATAAGAAAGGATATCCTGTCCCTTTGTACTTACAATATCGTTTCTCGAGGAAACGTTTACGTTTTGGCGACTTTCTTCTGACAGCTGTGTTTATGACGTCAGATTAATTTCTAATTTAATCTCTTAAATAGATTTATGTATTTTAAAAAGTTGATTCAAGTGCGCGTCACAATCCGTCTTGTGTTGATGCAAAAGTTTGCGTACATATCTGTTCGCGGTGACTATTTTAAAAACTTAAAGTCGTTAAAAAACAATTCTTATTTTACGAGAACGTTTTAAGTGAAGATAAAGAAACACTATAGAGAGATGTTGCAATCAAAACAACGATGTATCGTCTCATTAATATCTTTACGTCATGTGAACTTCGTCTTGTTATCTCATAAATAATTACGTAAGACAGCGACATGTAGTACGTGCAGCGTGAAAAACAATATCGCGATATCTAACATTTGCGCGTTCGAAAATTGTAGTTCGATCGTTCGATTTTCCGACAAATCTCGAATGCAGGCGTTTAAGCGCGATCGTTATTTCCTCGTCGGTGATGCGAATTATTTTTAGAATCGACGAGACGGACGGTAGTAAGATGGATTCTTAGGTGGAGAACTTTAAGGCCTGACCTGACCTCTTTTGCCGCGTCGAGCTTAGAAAGTAGATGAGATCTGTTTGCACAAAACGCGATAAGGAGTGCCGGTTGTTGCAACAAGAACTAGGGGGAACAGGTGTCGGGGGCTCGTTTGATAATCCGTATGATACAGAATGTCTCCTAATAAAACGTGTGTGTGTGTGTGCGCGCGCGCGTGTGTGAGTATCGCCGTTTCGACAAGAAATTCAATTGAAGGAGATTATGTAAATGACGATAAACAACGGTAAAATGTACGAAACTGTGATAATAAAACCCATAAAACAAAATTGCCATGTAAAACATATACATGCATATAAAACAGTCGGATCATAGTAGTAAAATTCATTGATAAACAATTTGCCAAAAATATATCGACGCAACATCAATGCGTAATTGAGCAGATTGTTTTTAATCAACAAGATACGAATATAATTTCTAATAAGAAATTGCTGTATATCACAACTCATACCCTGTGTGTACAGATTCTGACAAAGAATGATAATAGAACGAATTTAATTAAACTGAGTGGAGAACATAGATTCTTTAAGACATCTGTAATCCCATAAGTTTGCTCGGTCGGAAACAAAATTAATCAGATAATTTGATGAAACAGCAATATTGTACGAAGTCACGCGATATCTGATTTCGAAGTTTTCTTGTTTATTTCGCAAACACAAAGCATCGATCACTGCATCTGCGGAATTAATGCACAGCAACGAAACATGTAATACTGAGACTATATTTATTTTCAAGTGATTGTAACAATTTGAAGATAATTTAACTTTTATATTTTTAATTTTTTTATACATATATTCTGTACATTGCACTTTATAATTACGTTTACGTAATTTTTTTTTTTTATTATTATATATTCCAACTTGTTCTGTTGATTTCATCATAAAACATCGTCTTCTACACCTCGTAGATTACACCTATAATCACTGATATATGTGTATTTTTATCGTTCGCATAATAACGTAGCTTACGTGACTCGAAGCACATCAACGTCTTCGCGCCGTAGATTTAGAACGACTCCATGATATACTGATTGACGCTTAATTCGATCGTAGACAATTATCCAGCCAGTTTGACCAGAATAAAATCTCACTGAATTCGCTGCGCAAAATTCGCGGCGATATCCTATCGCAACATGGGGTAGATAACTCGATAATATCTATTAATCCTGAAAAGAGCGCGGGATATCAATCTGACCCAGTCGCGTTTAAATGAAAATTCTACTTTGTGCAACGCGTTTATGAAATTGGCCACCTTTCTAGAGGCCACACATAAAATTAAGTACGTGAAATATATTCAAAAGTTACTTAATAATCCTTCTTTGTGACATTGAAGCTTTTAGAAAGATATAGATATGTGACTTCAAATAGCTTAAGTAAATTATCTTCGCGAAGGTAAACGACAAATCCTTGTCGGTCATCGACGTTTCTTTAATTACCTTGAAGAAATTCTTAGAACGTTCGCAATTAAACTTGCAAGTGGTTGGTAACTAGTATAATGCACTCATATGTGTGTATGTGAGTGGAATAAGCGCTATATATATATATACAATATATATATTTTGAAGATAATTTTAAATCATAACAAGATACGACGAGAATATTGCCAAGCACGATAGCATTAATAAAAGAAAGAAACAAGAAGCAACGCGAAAAAGAGATAAAACAAAGATATATGCAACGTCTGTTTAGGTCAGAAATGAATCACCAAAAAATTTTCCATTAAGTTTGATCGTACAAGGCGACAACAAGCAAGCGACGGAAAGATCCACGCGTGGTCATTTATTCATCAGAAAACAAGTGTCGAAATAATGCAATCTCGCATTATTGACATTCAAAGCACGAGCAACAAATAAGCGATACTATATTCATTTTGGCTTTAGAACCACTTAGAAGTTTCTTTTTTTATTACACACGTTCTCGAAGTTTCAAATGCGGAAATTTGTTCTTCGTTCGCTGAGTTTCAAATAGTTATTATTTTTATAACGACGATTAAAATGTCAAGTGAACATATTTTACTTTTCATCGACTTATTTCGGATAGCTTTTTTAAAATAGCTAGATGAAACATTAAAAGTCCAGTAAAATTTCTTTTCGATCTCTGATTAATAAATCGAATTGATTTTGAACTTTCTACAAGATGTAGATTTTCGTCATCAGAGTGAAACATGATTATATACGGCATCAGCGACACATCTTTAAATAGCGTTTGTAAAGGAACGTGTGGAAGCGCGGGGCCGTCAGCTGACGAAGAGGTACGATCCATCCGATTGACGCAATTCGTGAACAACGGCGCGCAGGTTCGCGCGACTATGCATGCGCACAGAAAATTTGAAAGTGAAGAATTCGTCAAAACCTCGCAAAAAATGGTTTTTGCCTGTTTTACAAGTATATACACTTTCAAGGTTAGCGTGGCTCGTCGAATCTTAAATTTCACATCGCCTCCGAACTTTTTAATTTTCCGCTTGTGTGACGTGCTATCGAGTTGTTCACACACAAAAAGTTATCTTGCGACATAATTTTCGACAAATTTTGATCTCAGACAAGAAAATATAAGCGACTGCGTCTTTGTATTTAACTTTAATAATTACTTCTTTTTCTTAATCTTATTTATTTTATTTTATAAATTAACCTGATGGTGTCGTTGAACAGTTATTCAAAGTTGAATAGAAAATAGAACTTCTGAAAAGCTTTTTTTTTTATAAAATTATCTGCTTAGATTAAATAGAAAAACAGAATATATTCATTGTTCTATTTTTGTGTATTCGTATTATTGTTTATCAATATCAGACGATGGCGACACTATGCTGACATGTGCTCGAAATAGAGATTAGATGTTTTGTGAAAGAATATCTCTAGCAATGTCGTCATTCATTGTAAAACATTCGATAATATTAATACAATTCATAGTCAACAATCTCGATTTTACTTTGCTACATTCTAGTACTGTTACTAGAATGTTAACAATATATATCTCACACATGTATGAACAAAGTATACGTAGGGAGATTGACAAGTATGAAACGATGCATAGAGAGCGACAGTAGTATCACATTGCCGTTGTTATCATGACTCGATGGAAAGAAATTTTCGAGCAACAATGAAGTCATCGATGCCGTAAATGACTACTATACTTTGGCAAGCTATCACACACAAACACTACGTGCGATAATGAGTCAGCGTTTGACATTTGTTCTTCTTGAAGGATGAAAATTGTCAACAACAGCAATGTGATGCTATTTTCGCTGTCTATGCGTCGTTTTTTTGGATACTTATCAATCGTATAATATAGTACAGAATAAGTAAACAAATCTTATCTGCACTTATTAGTAAACAGTAATTATAGAATTAGTATATTACTATATTCATGCGCACATACATAAAGGGCTGTCTACAATGAAGGTAATAAGGCTGTGTAAGAGTAGAGTAAGGTTCTTGGAGTTATTTCATTTTTGTCTATACAATTATTTCGCGTTTTTTAACACACGTCTTTTATTGGCTAACAGTAAGGCAGTGCGAAATGGGAATTGCCCATTTTGTTATTCCCGTTGTTTCTTCACCGAAAAATAGTTTATTCTCTACCCCCCTTGCAGCCTTGCTACCTTCATTGTAAACTAGCTATAAGTGTGATTACACGGAACAAATTTCTAAAATTATATTTTTGCTGGTTGCTTACATCCCATGCATGCATAAAAACAATACTACCGTGTGATAACCATCTTTACTTTGGACATTTTTAAATCGTTTATATCATATAACGATAACACGATCAATACCTTTCTTCGACTTTGCTCCGATCTTCAGTCGCGACGGCCACGTAACTATGGTATTTGTTCTTTCCATAACCTGCAACAATGCATAATCGGTAATTAATGCCACGCGCTGCCGAAGATATTTTTTTTCGCATCGATGCTTCAATGCTACGTAATATTAGCAATGCAAATATGAGTGTTGTGTTAATAAAACGATATCAAGGCAAGTTCTGAAATAATTTCTATGCTTTATGTTTCTTTTGTCAGAATTAAATGAAAGATTAACTACTAGTTTTGTGTAAAATGGTTTTTTTTTTTTTTTTAAAGGGACATGTGTTAATTATATCATTAGACAATTGATACTAATATAATCAATGTCATTCGAAATATTTTAAGACACGTTTTAAAATTCATTATATGACTAATATATATCATATAAATCATAAAAATTGAAAGTGTGTGTGATTCATTGTATTTATCAGTTTTTCAGATTATCTTGTTTTTTTTCGCGCAACCTTCACGAGAATTTAATTTCTTCGACTCGCAACTTACGTACATAGCTACTTATCAAAGTTACAGTATTGACTGCAATTCGTCCTTGAACGAATGATCGTCTTTATCATTTCGAGAGTTTTTATCGCTGTTTTAGTTGCTTAATGTAATGTTTTTATATTGTCTTCGTAACTTGTGATTTTTTGTGTAACATTTCTAATTTTAGACAAACTAATAATATTTGTTGTTGTGAACACGCATTCGTTATTTATTGTATAATATTAAAAAAAGAGATTTTACACAATCGACATTTTATCCAAATAAAATCTGATTTGTCAAAAAATTTTGTTCAAATTTAGAAAAATATTTCGTACCTTTTCTTGATTCTTTTCCAGAATTGGGATTTGTTTTTCACTTTGTTTTCAAAGTGAAATTATCTTCCTAAAATATTAAACTCGTATAATAATTCTCTAACTAACCCTTCTGTCTAATCCAGCTCTAACTTTGCGATTAGTCAAAAGAGAGACAGAGAGTTATTTCTGGGCGCTAATTTCTTGTACGTAGTTTTTCGCGTTGGGAGAAAAACCAGCTGCTCCAAATCGAGAAATTTGGAATAAAGTCACAAAATTTCCTTCACACACACAATATTCATTCTTTTTTTAAATAGAATTGTGTTATACTAAAACTAAATACATAGAATTTAGTACATTAAAACTTTCTCAAATCAAATAAAACAATAACAAATGACTACATAGAATAGAATGATAAGGGAAGATAATTATATATTGTACTTGTAGAATTTGTAAAATATATATTCTACAAGAGTTCTCAGAACACGGAATCTACAGTTTGCAATGTGGAGAAACAGGCGGGAACTACGTTGATCAATATAGTTTTTCTCATATGGTTGCGATAGTCGCTCTTATCAATGCTTGGAAGAGTCATATATATACTTATTTGAAAACTGTATTTTTAATGTTGAATGCAACAATTGATTTTCTATACAAGATACGAGCATGAACGAACCCTTGCGTGATCGGAATATATAATAATGCAAAATAAGACGTAAGCAAGCTTGATGTGTATTGCATTTCTCCTGACCTATCCTTCCTTCTATTCTACGTATTATCTTTGTATTATTATTAATATTTACCACTGTCATTTTCGACTGTTGATTTTTAGTAGAGCTTTAGTGCAATTCTAGAATTTTTAATGTTGATGAAGCGACAAGGAAGATCGTAAAAATCCGGACACGATAGAAGAATCCAAGATAATTAAAGATAAAGTTCACCTCGCACACTAACGTCCTAGTTTTAAAAAAGGGTGCAACACGTCGGGAGGAGGAGGTGAATGGATCACTTTCACGATAACGATAACAGGTCACTCGACGAGTGCGCGGGCGCTGATCGCGACGTGGGTGAATCGAGTTACACTAGGTCTACTTTCACTGCAGCCACTGCCAATCACGGCGAAATATTCTGGAAGACCGATGCGATTGCTAATTAACAAAAGTTCCGCGGAGCAGTCGTCTCCACGTGGCCTCACAATATGACGATCTTTCGATCTTTAGCCTCAAACTGCTTCGAAATGTATTATCGCACTGTATTATCGAGGACTACTGAATTAATCGCGATCAATTTCCGTCCCCGGTTATATATCAGGCGACTTCCTGTTTCACTTCACTCGGTTAAATGCACTCGCGTCGCGCTATGACCACGTGGATCACTTTGAAACTTAATCGAAGTCCATTCACTGTCTTCTCATATTTTGCATACTAGCGAAGTTAGCAGACAACTAAGCTTCTCGCGCAAAGATCTCGAAAGACAAGTTTCTGTCTCAACCAACGGTGTACAACAGGAAACGACTAACTACCACGAGAATGGTATAACCACGTTGCTCCGGTCATCTCCCACTACTCTCTTACTGCTTCCCTCTCTCGCTCACTTGCTACCTCCACTTCGCCCGACTCCACCACGACCATTGCTGTTTCTGTGTTTGTTCGTCCTTCACATACTAACTCACCACGCAAAGGTGAGATTCGTGACAAAACCGGAAAAAACAAACACGGAATTCGAATAATGTGTTCAATGACTGTTGATTATTTAATTGACCAACTTAAAATATTTGGGCACGCATTATATCCGGAACATTCCTGAAAGAAATTTTTTTTTTTTTTTTTGTTCTCAAGTTCAAGTATGCACAATATATCGCGCAATCTTTTGTGTGTTGCCGCGTTGCTGACATTATGTAAGTTATCTTTACAAAAAAAAGTTATCTATAGTTAATTATACATATTATCTGAGTCAAGTTCTCGATGCGTTTAACATTGATAAGCGAAATTATCGCGAAAGTATTCGAAACTTTTTATCTTTTATACATATCGATTAAAAAAACAGATAAATATGCATGAAGAGCTGCTGCTCAATATGTATTTTTAATCGCATGTATCGTACGCGCGAGTTGACAAAAGACAAGTCGCAAATGTGCAAAATATTGACGGTTGTATTTTTATTTGGAGATAGTTTAGTTTTCTCGAGCGCGCAGATGTATGCGATAGAAATAGAAAAAATTAGAAAATTTGAATTTGTCAAGATTTATTTTCTCGATAAGAGTTTGCGAGTAGATTACGTAATCTTCTTTATATCGTGTGTTAATCGATGAAAACAAAGTTGCTACACTGAAGTGTTAATTCAATATGTGTATGTTTGAACAAACAGCGCGAAGAGTGCTGTTATTACTTAATTGATAAGGATTTAATCTGCCGGCAATGCACCCCGTTACATACGCCTGTTATTGGCGCGCAAAATGTTGCTTTTATCGCGTCTAAAAAAACTTGGAAATATTACGTGTAAGAGGTTTCACTTCGCAAACTTTCATTGGTTCAAACACTTCAACTATTCGAAAAATGAGAGAGTCAGATTAGATTAAAGACACACCCAAAACTTACACAAAACCAAAATCGAAAGGCGTGATGGCCTGTATTTAAATGTTTGTATGTATACTCATATCTCGTGAATGTCGGAAAACACATCTGGCTTCAAGACATGAGATAATGCTTATCGCACTTAAATGCAAGAGATATATGCGGAAAGACATGTTTCATCAAATCTTTTATTCTATACTAACGAAGAACTGTGGAATATTATTGGAGTTAATTTCCAAGAGAATATATTCTTTGAACTACTAATTAAAGCGGTTGCGTCAATAGCCAATCTATGGCCTTGATTGATCACTTCGACCTAAAACGATCGAAATGCTTTTCGGTCACGTATATTAATTCGCGTATTATCTTTGCCCCGAATTACTTCAGCCTTGTGTGTTGCGGCACGTTATATATACATATATATATATATATGACTTTAGCCGACCGCAAAACTAATTCGACGACATAATAACGGATACGCGTATCGAACATTGTTGTTTGAGAAAATAATATGCAAGGTGTGCACAACACTCCGCGTATTACTGCACATGTATGTGCTAAACAGTAAACTTCGCAAGATCGAAGATAAAGAATAATATCGCTCATTTGCATCATTGATTCGTAAAATTATTTCATAAATATTTTTTATCAAGGATGTGTGTACAAAGTTAATTGAAATTAGAATACTGAATTTGATATTAAATATATTGAGTACGATATTAATAATATAAATATGTTAAAAGACGAATAGTTGCATACTTAGATAGCAATACATTTTGTGACTTTATATAATTGCGAGTAGTTTAAAATAAAACGACAAGAATAGAAAAACAAACTGTCAATCGAGTTTAACAAATATTATCGACAGTGTTTGAAAAATGATGGTGCGCGGTTTTCGCTGAGCGCGGATGCGCTAAAATAGTATAGTATTGATATATCGATATCGTAATCGTAAAGCGAAACGAAAAAAAAAGTCAAGTTTTTGCGCTCGTAAAATTTTTTATATCACTTATATCGCGAAAAAAATATGACACAATGTACAGTTTTATTTCTCCTCGCGGTTGATTATATTGTCGGACGCGGTACATGGACTACAAAACTTAAATACGTTTGTTCTTTAATAAATACGTATGCTCATTCACCTATATTTATCCGTGCACTCACAGCGTCATAAGACTAATTCGTTTCACTAGGAAGGTGACTTGCACGTGAGCACGTTTATAAGTGAAACGCGGCGACGTATATAGGATACACGATTGTTATCGACATCGGAGAAACCAGCGCAACGGTCAAGTATTAAACATCGTGGTGCTATAATTAACATATCGAAGTATCATCATTTTCAAGAAAGAGGAGAACGGACTAGTGTTTATCGCATATAAAATGTGTCACGCGCTACACAACACAAACTCGGTAGGATTTTTTTGCGCTCACACCGGCGCCTCTGTCGGGTGCACACGTAATTGTCGCGTCGCGTATAGCCGCCGCTCGAAAGCGGGGGAGTGGAACGATGGCGGGGATACGCGGCCTCTTGATTACCGCTCAAGCTTCTCTATAAATAATTGGTCGGTGTATTTCCAGAGAGCTCCTTTTACGCAACACGCCAAGGCGATAAGGATAAACGCACGAGCGTTGCCTTCGAACTTGCCCGGTGAACGGCTCTCGCTATAAGACTAGCACACGATCGACGTTGTTGCGACGCGATTCTGCACTTGCGCAAAATTTTTCACACTTGACATTTTTTCACAATTATTTGTGCTCTCGATATATTTATATTTATGTTACAACGATTGTATACGCAAATTCTTTATTTATCTTTTTATTTTTGTGAAAATTTCAATTTCGCAAGAATGATCGCAATTTGTCAATTTGATTTTCTCCGTCGAGTTAGCGAGTAATCAGAAGAGAGAGAAAGAGATAGATAGAAAGAGAAACGAGGAGAGTAGAGGAGAAAGTATATAATGTTACGTTCGATCGTAAGCTTCCTGTTGCGGGCTTATTTCTCTACGATTGTAATTTCAAGTTACGTTATCACGACGAGGAGGAGGAAGACGAAAGAGCGAACGAGTTTCTTTGCGTTCGAATTTCTCCGCGTCGTAATCCCAGATTTTTCGTACGTTGTCGCGCTTGAGAAATCGATTGCTTATACCAGTTCTTCCGTAAAACATGCACGATAGTAGCTTACTCGGTTTTCATCTCGACGTTTCAATGTTTTTGGCGGCATATCAAATGATTCGACATATTCGTTGATTTTCACACACAATAAAGAAAGTTAATTTTTTATAATCTTGAAAAAAATATTGAATTCCCGCATGCCGATCTGTATATCTAGCAAAAATCAAATTGTCGAAATCTCAACGGCCGTAGAAAATATAGTCTCGTATTATCGCTGCCGATACGAGCGCAGAAATTGTGCGCATAATATGACACCGAGTTATCAGCGCGAGTTGCTGACGTGAAGAGGCAAAAAATATACATAAAAATACCCTCTTTCGTTTTCGCATAATCGCAAGGTCAGTGCAACGTCGCCTCGGCGCGAAGACGCCTCGCTTACGTCGGCAATTTTATAGAACGCGATCAGCAAAGTTGGCCGAGTCAATCATCTTGTCAATTCCATTAACCCCTTCGTGTTATAGCACATCGACGTACCACAAGACGCGATTTCCCTTTCAAAAAAAAAAAAACCGATCGTTCTCTTTTGTAAACTGTGAAAAAGGTGAAATTTAATATTGTTGTTCAGTAAACCGGCATCAAGTCCAACTTTACGTCGGAAACGGTTATTGCAGCAATTAACTGAAGAGTCCGCTTATCATAAATATCGTGCATTTGCTTCCTCTACAAAGTGAAAGTTTCGGAAATTATAATAATATATATAATTTCTCAAGCGCGAGATTGAAACGCGAGATAATATGGAAAACAATGTTTTCTTTCTTCTGCAAAGCCAATAGGGAATAAATAATATAAATTATGATAATGTAAAACCACATGATATTCACACATAAGATAATTTTCCCAACCATCTTCAACAAAAACATTTGTTAGAAAAAGTCAATGTCCGTATCAAAATTAAACTTTACATAGGTTTATTTTTAAGTTTACTTTGTAATAAATTTAATTTCGTTTTTATTTTACAAAAATTAAATCTAAGTAAATTGACATTTAAGCGAATTTTTTAAACATTATGTTTCGCAAAACCGGTTTAAAAAAGAAATGACGCGGATGACAGGCAACTTTTACCGATTTGCACTAGGAATAATCTTTTGTAGCTGAGAGAAAGGAGTTGCATCACGTGCTGTCACGAACACTTACGTGTCAGAGTCACAGATAGAAAGTTCTCGCTAATCAATCAACAAAATCATTACGACGAGATTTCATCTTTTGCGTGTCAAAAGTTCAGCGAATAAAATATAAAATCGTAATAAATGTGTAGTTAACGTTGCTGATATTTTACAATATTTTATAATGATATTTATCGAGCACTATTAATCTTCGTTGCGTGTGTCTCTTTCAGGTTTCTTTACAAAATTACAAGATAATCTTAGAAAATTGCAAGAGAAAAAGCATTTCAACAATTAAGTTTAAGTACTGGACAAAGTTCTGTTGAGAAAGAGTTACGAATAAGTAACATATCAATGTGTTATTTGCCATTAAAGTTAATCAACTCTGAATAAAACAAAATAAGGAAAAACTTACGGTATGAAAGAAGGTGTCCGCCGGTTTGACATCACCTGTGAATGCAAATATAAAATCAGATATAAAATGATTTTGATAAAAAATTTAGAGATTATTTTTTTTTCTCCATATTTTATCTTGATTGTTTTAATTTGATTGTATCTTTTTGCACGCGCACGAACACACGCGTATATGTAAATACATGATGTAATGTTTCTCAACATTTACGAGATAAATTAAATAATTCAGATAATCGCATATTTCGCATACCGCGTTGTAATATATTGTCGATATAAAATCCAAGAAATCAACGAAAACATTGAGTAAGCAATATCGATTTATATGCAATCGGTATCGCAAGCTGTAAACGACAGAGGGGGCTCGACAGCTGCCATACAAATAATTTCGTTTACAAATAAGTTTGTCTATTTAAATCGTACAATAGGTACGTACACACCGTCGCGGCGAGCGCAAATGCGGCAGAGCGGAATAAAATTTTCATATTTATTGAGCGCAAATTTTTCTCATCTCTTAAACTTGATTTTTTTACTTGATTTAAATCAAATCTATTATTAGCAATTGGAATATAAAAAATATAGAGCAAATATTTTGGCGAAAAGTTTTGCAAGATGTTACGGTGCTTTCGTTATTACGAAAACTTGCTTTATTTATTTATGATCGACCGGAAAATTTGTCGCAAAGCGCAAATATGTCTTCGCCGACGTGAAAAAGTAACATTTTAAGGAATCAAGTCTACATTCGACGCGGGAAAGCGAAAGTAGACACCGGCGCGCGCGGGGACTCGTTCCGCTTCTCGAGTGTTATGGACACTCCAGAAGCAATGAAAGCGATAAAGGACACTGGAGTGTCTAGCGTGTGTCGAGTACGGGGAAAGGTTAAACGCGAAACACACACATACATACAACAGCAAAGTTATTGTCGGTACTGTGGCCGGTGTTCTCTTGCCGCGCGCGATTTACCACCAAATACGGTAGCGCAGCGATATCGTGCGCGGATGTTTGTATTAACGAACAATATCTCTGTATTAACAAATACAGACGAATAAAACAAAAACAGTGCTGCAGAATGGCAAATTGGGGATATTGATATTACATTCGTTATATTTACAATTTAAAATTTAGAACATGTTATGTTTGTAATTATACGTACAATACGTTCTTAATTATCTTGAGAAATGTTTTATTTTAAAAACTGTCACTCTTCTTATTCGGCAAGTAGACTTCAGGTACTTAATCCCGACTTTCTTTGATAACCGCCTTTGCTCTCGTAATCTAATATCTCTGTGGTAAGGAGAGAAAGTCCCGCGACACTACTTTATAGCATACTCGACATCAACATTAAGTGGATTGGATCGATCTCTCTCTTTAGATGTACTTAGTATTTAAGATAATTAAGTTCTTAGTGTTTGCCCGTCTAATTTCTTAATGCTACTATGTACCATTTCAAAACCGTGTAATTAAAAAATGCACACGTGCATGCGATACAAGATTTTTTAATCATTTCTCGATATTCTGTGTGTATTTTCTTTCTTTATAAATTGAATTTTTTCTTGAAGCAGTCTAATATCGGCTCCATATTTGCTCTAAATTTAAATTATCGTAAGTTTTTGTGTGACAAATTCTATGAATATTGGAAATCTTGCACTCACCGAGAAGCATTTGTTCAAGTTTGCGGCGGTCTACGCGGAAACGTTCCTGATGCAGTTCCTCGGGGTCGCTGATGTTTAGCAGAGTCGCGAGGTCGCGCAGCTCCTCGCGGCTTTCGAAGCCGGACTTGCCGGACACGCTGGTGGTGGCGGTGCCTTCCGACGTCTCCGACATCGTCTCCGCCGCCCGCCGCTGTTCACCGTTGTTTACCACCATCTCGTCGGGCCTCATCTTGCCGTTCGACGAGCGACGTGTCCGACGCGGCCTCCTCTTACCTCACCCACGCGTCGCGACGCTACCAAAACAATTAAAAGCGCCAGATGTAGAAATTAACTGAAAATGTTGAGGAGTCTCTTCTGATTGACAGAAACAAAAATGTCGGAATATTATTTCGAAGGAAACGTTTCTCCTTTAACATTTGTGCAATATTCTGCTTTTGAAACTACGCGAGAATACTAGAATTCTCGTTTTCCATAGGTTTGTTCAGCTAAACAAATACGTTCGATTTTTACAATTTTGGATTTTCGAGCACGTGGCAATTTATTTGATTATTATTCCGTTTTTCAGATGGGAGAAAACACGAATACCGATTCCTGATAATTCACGAAAAGGTGCGATCACATGCGAACACGGAGGTGTTTATTCGCGTGGCCACATGTGTGTCACGATTATTTAATTGGGATCACGCGAATCGCAGTAATCAGGATCACGTGAACGATTCGTTTAGCGCATCTCTCCATCGTGGACATTTCCTATTGCGGCAATAATGGCTCCATCTATAATATCAGCGACGGCTTTCGTCGACGAGGACGACTTTTGTTCGGAGAAGAAACACCGAATTCCGAGTTATTATTTATAAACTCGCGCCCGCGCTTACAAAATTCGACGTTTTCTTCCGTATGCAGCAAATTCGCCGAAATTTCTTCATTATTCTGGGCAAGAAAGACCGGCTTGTTTGCTTGTTCTGCATGCTTCATAGTCTGTGCGAAAAAAAAAGGTAAACATCACGTAGGCAATACCAATCGTGTAGAGTCACGTAGATGTAATTTTGTGTCTATAGAGTCGCAGATTAAGCGAGTTCGACGACCATTAAACGCGAAACGCAATCTCCATGCTATAATCCGCGCTTATCACATGCGGATGTGATGTAATGTGACAAATTTTAAATAATTTATTATCGCACGATTTTTCATTTGTCCCGTGAAACTCGAAATGGCGAACGCGGACGGCGTTTTCAAATTTGAACAATTTATCGAATTCAAAATTAATTAATCTAATAATCTCGTTACTTTTCGAAATAACGTTTCTTTTCTCTCATCTCGCGATTCAAAAATGTTTATTTATCGATATCGGTGTGCGCGTGCGCGTTCGAAGAAGTTTTGCACCATCTCGTATTTAAATACTTGAGAGCGGTTAATTAATTTTTGAATAAACTCAAGGAATGAAACGGAGATTATTTTGGAAAAATGGATTTTATTTGATAATATACAGTTATTATTACACAACGGCGATATATATATACCATACAATAATCGCGGAACGAGCGATAGTATTAGATCAGTTAAGCTATACGGGTACAAGCAATGATACTGCGTTCGGAATAATATCACGGAATAACATCACAACGTGCGCGAAACTGTTGATTTGAAATACCAAAGATATACCGTGTCAAAATAAACATTCAGAGAAGAAAAAAAAAAGAGAAAGAGAGAGAGAGAAAGAGAAGAAGGCATACACATAGGCTACTTCCAAAAAATGTATCCACGTGCGGATTGAGACGATGTGGTTGTAGAAATTAACTACTAACTGCGGACGTGCTCGAGAACTAGCCAGATAGCAGGAAGAGTATTTGTCGTGCCCGAACAACACACTTCACGTCATAACGTAATCCGAAGAGGATGAGAACTGACCTGCACGACGATAATTGCACTTTTATCGAATTATCGGATTTATTCAAGGCGAGCGATGATGCGATTGGTGCGGGGGCCTTGATCCTGGTCCCTCCGCTGGGTCTCCGTCGTCTTCTTCGTCCCGGGTCTGGTCCTCGTCCTCGTCGCTGCTGCCGTCCAACTCGATTGGCGGCAGCGCTGTAACCCGCCGTTGTAATCGGAGCGAGCGAGCGAGCGACGGCGGCGCGGTGTGCGGTGTAAACAAAATATGGCGGTGGTGAGAAGTAAAAGGGGAGTTACCCCGCGGGGTGCGGGACCGTGCGGGGCCCGATGCTGTTTCCTAGAATTCGGGCCGATTTTCGGGGTAAGTGCCGGGGTGGCGACCAATCGCGAAGCGAGACGCTGACGGATTCACTCGGTTTTTCACCGTCGCGCCTTACCCCTCGCTTCGCTCCTCGTTACGTCAACATCACCCCCGCTACCGAGCAACGATAGAGATACCCCAAGTGTGTACGGTAATACTTCGTATATTTGGTTTCTCATGCGCGAGAAGGGTAAGAAAATCTTCTACTTCTGTGTATGCCTCATCCTCTTTCAGCCGCTGATTGATCAACGCCTACGGAATGCTGCAAAAAAATTCGCTGTGTCTGAAAATCGATTTGTCTCTTTTTCGTTGGAAGCCTACTTTGTTTATATGAAGGTTATCGTACTCGTATCGTGGGAAACGTCAACAAAAAATTGTTATCCTAGCCGCGCATCGAGATTTATTTTCGAATGATTTCGCGCCTGTAACAATGAAAAAGCAGGAGCGGATTCGAATAAGGGAGAAAGCGTTTTGCAGTATCACGTGTATTCGCTTAACGGCTGGGCATTTATAGACGGAAATTTGATAACGTTCGTCGTGTCGCAGATGGGGTTTTAATAAAATGACAAATTTTGCCATATGCAAAGTTGAAGAAAAAATACGTGTACCTTACCTGTCCTGAGTATTTCCGTGCGCGGCAACCACCTGCGCTGGCGGAAGAACCGCGTATGGCGCGTGTGCCAGCCACGTGCCAATTTGAAAGCTGACGTGAGCACGGAAAGCCGGCCGCATCAAATAGCCTAATACTAGTTGCTGCGCGTTTCAATATTCTCTGTTTAGTACTAAAACTCTATATTTTACGTACACACATGTGCTATAGATTTTCATTACTGGAAGTAAAATATCAAAACGTAGCCTGTATCGCAGCGGCGAAGAAAAAGACAGACTGCTCTCTATATAGCACATGTGACGTAAAGTATAGATTTTTAATACTAGCAGAGAATATCGCGCAGTCATAATTTTTTCTATTCCTTGAATTTGCTTGATCGCATCTACCTTCTCACTTTTTTTTGTTATTTCTTAATATTTTTTTTGCTTGAAATCAAAGTTCTTTGCCAGACTGGAGACTGGACTTTTAAATGGTGTGGCTTTCTATATCTGTTTCTTCTTCTACTGCGTGCCGCTAGTTTCATTTTTTATATCTTTCTTTTTTTTCTTCGTTCTATAATATAGCGATTAATTTGTTTATCTTTCTCTTTATCAAATTTATATAATTGTTTTATGTTTGCAATTTTTATTTGATTCTATACGTATCTGAAAAATTTTATTTCGAAACTTGCAGTCCCCTCGTGCAATCACTCGTGTTCGTAACGAGTGCAGTGAACTTCATTACCGATGTAGTCATGTTGTCACGAAGTCATAACCTCGTCGTGGCGTGGTTAGCGATCTCCATGTTATCATTGACATGTGTCGTTTGTCGGCGTTTGATCAGGTTAAGATAGCGCGTTGGAGCATTAATGCATTTTTGAAAAGTATTCGTAAAAATTGAAACAAAATATATCGCGAGAAATAGATTGGAAAAAGAAACCGTAGTGTGTTCCGAAGAGAAACGATATCGGGGATGAATTTCTTCTCTGATCGGACGAGACTGCGTTGCGTAAATAACACTCGAATTTTTCTGTCAAAATAGTCCGTTTGTAAGAAATACGCGTTATATTCCGCATGTTTTTGTCGTTTGAGTACTTTTTTGTTTTTTAGCGAGAGTAATGCTTTGCAAAACGGCAGATCGCGATGAGAATTTGTAAAAATGTGTTTACACTCACGACGTGCCGCGAATAAGACTGTGTAAACGATGTTGCAAGCACGTTGGGAACGTTCTCAAAAACGCAAGAAACTCTTGGCCCAAACGGTAGGTATCGCGGAAACATTGGCGATTGTTGCATTCAATAAAATTAGGTTAGGTATACAAATACAGACAATACGTTCAATGAGCCACTAAAAAATAAGACAATATCTTTGATATATAATCTTCAATGTTTTTTTGCAGCTGGGAGTTTCTAGTGTAGACGAACTGCGACAGATTTTGGGAACAGACGTGGAAGATACACAGAAAAAGAGAAGCAGACTGTCCAATGACAAATCTGACAGTACAATCAAAGATTTAAAAGATGATGCTGTTCCAACAGATGAAATTGTATATAAGGATTCTTCGACATTTTTGAAAGTACTTATCCACAAGTTTTGGCATTTCTTTATTAATTACATATTGCGCATTTAAAACTGTGTATGTACTTAAAATGTGTTTTTTTTTTGTTTTGTTTTAAAGGGCACACAATCATCGAATCCACATAATGACTATTGCCAGCACTTTATTGACACTGGCCAACGACCACAAAACTTTATTCGAGATGTAGGTCTGGCAGATAGATTCGAAGAGTATCCAAAACTTCGTGAGCTGATCAAGTTGAAAGACGATCTGATCGCGGAAACGGCGACTCCACCAATGTATCTAAAAACAGATCTGCTGTCGTATAACTTGAAAGAGCTCAATTGTAAATTTGATGTCATTCTTATAGAGCCACCGTTGGAAGAATATCAAAGAACGTGTGGTGTAACTAACGTACAACTATGGAACTGGGACCAAGTTAGTTTGAGTTACAGTTGAAAATTTTATTTTGCAATAAAAAGAATATTTTTATATATATTTTTGTTTTTAATTTACACAGATAATGGAGCTAGATATTGGCGAAGTGGCTGCCAATCGCAGCTTCGTATTCCTGTGGTGCGGTAGCAGCGATGGCCTGGACATGGGGCGATTCTGCTTGCGCAAATGGGGCTTCCGACGTTGCGAAGACATCTGCTGGATTCGCACAAACATCAATAATCCAGGTCACAGCAAAAATCTAGATAGCAAGGCAGTGTTACAGAGAACGAAGGAACATTGCCTGATGGGCATCAAAGGCACAGTGCGACGCTCTACTGATGGCGATTTTATTCATGCGAACGTCGACATCGATCTTATCATATCCGAAGAACCGGATTACGGTTCCATCGAGAAACCGGTGGAAATTTTTCACATTATCGAACACTTCTGCCTCGGTCGAAGAAGGTACAAAGTAAAACAGTGGTGTATTATTAAAATGAAAAAAATAAATTCTATATTCGCGATTTTTCTTATTAATTTCTTAAAAAACATTCTGTTCATTATTATTTAGGTTGCATCTCTTTGGTCGAGACAGCACTATCAGACCCGGTTGGCTCACTGTCGGTCCAGAACTAACAAATACGAACTTTAATGCAGATCTTTACCAGAGTTACTTTGCTAACGGCCAAATCACTACCGGTTGTACCGAGAGAATAGAGGCTCTCAGACCGAAATCACCTCCACCAAAGGGGAAAGTGTCCGGACGTGGCAGAGGAGGTTTTAGTCGCGGCAGAGGTCGAGGAAGATAAATAACTACTACTAGGTTCTCCTTTGTATGTCTTTGATTATTATTATTATTATTATTATTATTATTATTATTATAAATGTAAGAAATTTGAAAACATGAAATTCACAGAAACAATTTCATTTTTTTTTACGCTCAAAAATATTTGAATTTTTAAAAATGTGTTTTAACTTGTCACACAAAATATTCCTTGCCTTCCGTTTAAAACTTTAAATTTTCCTATTTGTAAAATTTTTTCAAAAAATATGAACTTTTGGAGAATTCGTCATTAAAAGAAATAATACAAATTCTTGTTGTTGCGTAGGAAAGGGATAAAAAAAAGAAAGAATAAATCAGGTTTTTGTTTTACTATCAAACTTATTGTTATTGCAAGGTACATTGTAATGAACGCAATTTGTCGTTTGAACGCATTACATATAACTTAACTATCTGCAGATAGTACATAATATTGCCTCTATCTTTAAATCATTAACGATATAAATCGGACTGCCAGAGTCGCAGTGTTTTTTAAGAGGGGAGTGGTGGAATTTTAAAAATAACACGCTAAAAAGATCGCGTAAAATCCAATTTGTCGAATTTGTAGCTAAACCGCATCTAATTGCATTAATTATAGATCGCACTAGGAACAAACGAATGTACGTACATATAAAAAAATAAAACATATCTTTCGTTGTGTTGCGGAAGCAAAGAAATATTACTTAGTCTTACGAGTAGCATGATTTAACTAATTAAATAATAACGAAGTATATCAATCCTCGAGAGAGTAAAGAAAGGCGCACGCATCTCATCGGTCGTTCAGAATATCGCCAAGTGATATTGTGTACTTTTGAATAGATTTCTAGAGAGAAAAAATATTATGACGTTCATGTAAGTTGTTATTATGGCGTACTTTTTTAAAGACAAATTTCGTTTTATATTTGTTATCTATTTAAAATGTCACCATATAGTTTGGAATAAAACCGAAACGTTCAGCTGTTGCGGTGTGAATGTTTGACGAAAGAATGAATTAAAAAATTTTAAAACACTGTTTCGCGCAAATAATAATCACAAAATTTGTTTCCTTTTTTTTTTTTAGAAAATAATTTATATAAATTATAAAAACCTGTCCTTTGTCAACATGAAATTGTTAAATGCACATATTCAATGACATCGCTCAAAAGATTAAACGTCACACTCTTTCGGAGACAGAGAGAAAAGTTAATTAATTTTTCTATTTAAATCTGAGATCAAGTCACGTATTTTGTACTCTATAGGCTGAGTCTCGAGTAATTAATTCGTAGTATACATCGTAAACATATACAGAGAGTTCTTAAAATTAAAGTCGTGAAGAAGAAGAAAACAAAAATACGCAGACTTACAAGGTAAATTTTATTGGTCCCAGTAAAGCTTCCGGTGAACGAATCTATATCTCAGAAAAAAAAGTTCCTCGTTCTTTCTGTTACGTTTGAATGCATTTTTCGCGTTAACGACACAATTAGATGTACTTTATATTTCTACTTCATAAAAGAGCAGACTTCATTGATGAGGTCACAAAAAAAAACATACTACATGTGTATCGGGGGAGTAGACTTGTTAACAACAAACTTAACCTTTTATAGTGGAAAAATATATGAAAAATATCGGTTTATCATAGTTTTGTACACTACAACACAGAAGAGATATCCTTTTTTTTCCTTTTTGTGACTAAATAGTAAGAAATTAAACGACGATTATTTATTTATTTCTATCATCTTATGTCGAATTAATTATAGAAATCATCTATATAATCGTAATTTTATTTATGATGGATCTTACATAGCTATTTTCTCGTAATGCGTTTTTAAATGCTACATTTCTACCTCTCTCTCGTCGTTAATTCGTCGTGATAAACGATGACATAATACAAAAAAAGATCGCAATAGAGTATTAAAAACCCTGGTACACAACATGGTTTATAAATAAAATACATTAACGATCCAATTAATAATAATAATAATATAATATAATAATAATAATTAATAATAATAATAATAATAATAATAATAATAATAATAATAATAATAATAATAATAGATAACAAAGTGCAATTTTTCATATAGAAACATTTGTATTTCGATGTTAAACACTCATCAGTCATCAGTTTGTTTTCTTTGCACTTTAACTCTCGATTAAGTTACTAATTAGATGATCTTCATAGACAATTTATATTGTACAAATTAGTTGTAGTTTATTTTTTTATCAGACATTTATTATAGATATTCTACTTTATATTGATAACAAAAATTGGGTGTATTATACAAATTATAGATTGACAAATTTCATTGATATTGAAAAAACTTAAACGGGAAATAAACTTAAAGTAATAATAATATCAACGCGCAAATACACAATACTTGTGCAACAAATCGTATGTTTTTTTACGTCGTCGAAATGAATCGTCTATCACGTTGAAAAGACTTTTTTTAAAAAAAAAAAAAAAGAAAGAAAAAGAAAAAGAAAAAAACAACTCGCATATACGTATCCTTATACGAATATAAAACATGGCGGAAAAAGATAAATAAATAAGTTATTCGCGCAAAACACGAATATCGTTATTGCTCATTTTAAAGAATAAATAAATACAAAAAAAAAAAAACGAGAAAACTTAAATTTTTATCTCGTATTTGTGCGTATCTCGTCGCTGTGCGAAAATTCGATGACGCGTAACTTTTTGTAGAAACACTCAAAATTTATATATTTTGTACTCGAGACTTTTTTTTCGCTCGACTCTTGTATACAAAATCGATCCATTTTCGACACACAGCAAGATGCGTATGCTGCGCGGGACTGCGAAGCGAAAAAAATATTGTGTATATTTATTTTTATAATAAACATTTCTAGAGCACTAAATAAGGACGGCTTTTGCACAGAAGAAACTAAGCACCTCTTCGTGTAAAAAGAAAATTTACGTTTCAGAAATTGCGCTTTCAGAAAGTTAAAATTGTCTCCATAAAACTGTCCGAAAGTACAAGTTTTTAAGAATATAAATTTTTTTTTTATAAACTTTCATATAACTTTCTGCCTACTTGAGGCACAAAAAACTCACGCGCTAACCATGAGTTCATTACTGATGAGTTTAGTTCAAATAATAAGTTAATACGATAGCCTAAGATTAATTTATAAATAAATTTATAAATAAATTTTCGTGTTAAATAATCATATAAAAATTGTTTTTTTTTTTTTTCGTCATTGCGCTACATTTTTATATAAATATCCAAAAGAGACGCTCCCGGCGTCAAAATTTTGGTAAAAGACCACATAAAACACTGGCGCTTTATTTCTTTTATATAAAAGCCGTTATTCACTGGTCGCGCCACATATACAAAAATGTGTTAATTAATTCTAGTGATGGGATTTTCTTTTTTGTTTTTTTTTTTCGTGAAGCATCAGCGTATGTAACTAAGAAAAGTTTTATAAGGCTGGGGATGGCGGGCGAGCAGGCGAGCGGGGGTGTGTATGCATGCGTGGTGTGGCAGGCAACGGGATGGCGATGATGGTCGTTTCATCAATATTTGCACACACACACACACAATTTCGATAATCAAGCGGTGCGAGGTTTTCAGCGGTCAGAAGGTTGATCGTCACAGTGAAGAAGTGTTTGGCCCTGATCAGGCCCGCCATCATCATCTCACCATCATCATCATCATCTCAGTCAAGTTTCAATAGTCACAAATATGTCGATTCCCCTGCAAGCAGACCTATCGTCAGTCGTGGAAAAAGACGTGATGTCAAAAGGTAATATCGCAAAACTTCTGGGTCGACCAACAGTTACACGGGAAAGTGGAAAATGGTGTGTGACAAAGCGGGGACAAGCAAGAAAAACATAAATAGACGATTTTGCACATTTATACTCGAGAATGTAAAAAAAAAAACTGAAGCTTGCATTGCTCTATTCTTGAATTCCAACGCACTACATCTTCACGAAACTATAAACATTTGATTGTCACGCAAATTATTCAAACTTACTTTGTCGTACTCGAAATATAAAATGACTGAAAATTACAAATTATATTCTTGAAAGGAAAGAGATAAAGTGCGTTGGTTTCAAAGAAGGTTACGCAACAAAAAAATGAATTTTTACTGCTATGTTTTATTCGTATTGTGTTTGAGAGATTATAAAGTTTTGAAAGCGTTTCTTTTTGCTCTTAAACTTACCCTGAGATAAACGTAACAGACCTCATGTGCAAGAAGAAAATGTATAACATAATCGAAACATGTACGTATATATATATCGATCTTAATCTCGTAAGTTTGAGAAATATTCTCGAGAGAATACTGGATATTACACACAATTATTTTATTCGCAATAATAATAAGAGATTTCATTATATGTCTTTATTATTACATTCATTGCAGTGTGTTCGATCCGACAACTAATAAGACATTAGTGTCAAAGCTTGCGATAGCAACGGGGTTGTTAAGGCAGCGATGTTACAGATTATATCGAACATGTTTCTCTCGGACAAAGGACAGGCTTGTAACGCAGACGAATATCGTAAATACGATAAAATATATGTATATATATATAATATAGCTCTCTGGCTGCTCTCGCGCTTTAATCTCTTTATAAATTCTGGAAATGGTCAACGGTATAGATTTGCAGTTTTTCACGTTCACAGTTATAATATTCTCCGTTTCGTATAATGTATAATAATCTACTTGTCGGAGAAAACAAATCGAAGGAGAAACGGCTCGTTCGAAAGAACACCAGGGATATTCTTACACAAACTGCATCGTGTAACATTTATTTTTTTTTCTTTTTTTTTCAGTAACTAACTGTATATATTCACAATCTTATGACAAAATCGTACTCTCGTCGACACCGATTAGGTGCGATATAAAAAATCGGCGAAGTAAACGTACTTTATTATGTTTATATTTGGATTGCTCCGCGCGCGCGCTTCTAAACCGATCTCTAACCGTCGTTCTAACTGAGAAGTGGTAGATTTCGCGCGTAAGCACAATACTTAAAATACTCGTATATATATAATATGAGATCCTATATATATATATATATTTATACGCATCAGGAGATACGCGGTATACAATTTATATATACCTGTATCCAATTTAACAATAAGGAGAAAGTACAAAAATACGTTTATCGCGTAAATGTAAACCGACCGAGTATCGAGTAAACGCGTTCGTGTAACGAAATCTATAAGAGGAGGTTTTCTCTGTCGTCATTCTTTTGCATATATAGAGTGATTCGGAAAATTCGGAGGAAAGAAATTTTCCAACACATTGTTATAGACTTTTTCTTGCGAGAACATATTTATTTATTTTTGTATTTTAACACATTATATAGTATCAATATTATTAAAGGTAGTTTTTTCTAAAGCTTTTAAATTTTTTTTTATAGATTATAAGAGATCTTTATCCTTTTTAATGAAAGTTTTTTTAATAGAAAATTTTTAATAGAATGGAGCGCTTCTTTTATGTTACAAATTATAATATAAACTTTCCTCGATAGAATCTCGTGTAAAACAATCAGTTCTTTTGCGTATACCACTCATATTGTTCTTTTTCCGGATCACCCGATATAAGCGCCTTAATATATATCAAGAGAACCGACAATATAATATATATCTATAGATATATGTACATATACATATATATATATGTATATATATATTTTATATCATATAGTTTTCTCTACGCAGAATAGAAATAACAAAAAAACCGATTCTTATCTCAGTGAATGTGTGTGTACAATTTATCATCATTTCAGGTAAGACCGACGTTGAAATTGTCTGCTAGACTTCTCGCGCTTTTCTCTCGACTCGCGTCTCGATCGCAAATAGATCAGCGAGGAAAATTCAGTTCGGTGTTTTGCCTACTTTTTGCCTTCCGCGAATATCAAGAGAAAATTCATCCTTTAGATTACTTAAACAACAGTCACATAGGCATGTAGCAAAGTAATTGAAACATCAATGTTTTTTGTTCTTTTTTTTTTTTTTTTTTCACACACGCACTTTGTACACTTTATCATATCAAAAGAACGGCTTCGTTGATTCTCACCTCGTCTCTTTTCGGCTCGCTATCGACGATCACAAACGTAATGTCTTACTAAGTTCTCGCTTACTTAAATTTCTCGCCCACATTTCGTAAGGCGAGCCCTCCGAATCCGCACACGTGTCTCATTTTTCGATTAATAAATGATACATTCCCGGTGAGATATAAGTGGATAATCTATTAGAAAACACAGCTTGCTTACGTTTCCTCTTTTCCCCTCAAAAAATTTGAAGCTTGTCAATAGAAGATTAAAATATCATGATTCACTTATACACAATTATCAATGCGATAAACCTACTTCGTAAACTATAACACGAGCAATGATTTTCCCAACGTAACGTAACATAACGTCCGCTCGTATGCTCTTAATTAATCGAAAAAGTCGACACTGTCGAGCGCTTGCCGATTGCGTTCGCCCGCGAACACGGTAAAAGTCTTACGAAGAGATTGTGACAACTCACGAACGTGTACCACGAAGCTGGACAGATGTGTGTATGTAAACGACAGGTTGCATCTCTCGCACACTTCTTAGAAGGACCTATTGAAGTTTGCTGCGAAGCTAAGAGATGCAGTGACATTTTCTTTTTTTTTTTTTTTTTTGGTTTTTTTTTGTTTTTCCTAAGAAATGGCAGACGGTCGCACGGTGTGTGTTTCACAGTGTTAAGAGCGCAGTCTTAACTATTACATGTATGTCACTAGAGTGTTCTATCGAGGTGCAACGCAAGATAATGGAACGGATAAGAATAACAAGTCGCGTCGGAAAGAAGTTCAGGATGTCGCGAGTTGGCGTATATAAGCTCTATAAGTGAAAACTTGTCGCCCGCGCAAGGATCCACACGGCGAGGGATGATTCTTGCGCGTGCGACGTATCTCTACATATTTATCAAGCACTTCGTATGCTGAAATAGCGCTGAATATTAAGTGGAAAGAGTGATTTGTACAATTGCGCACGCGACGCGAGATAGTCGCGTTGTAAATTCACGTCGAAAAGATTTATACATGTGAGACGAAAAATTCAAGAAATCCGTCGCATCTAAAATTTGTATAAACGGTCGAAAAGTCTTAAGCAAGACAGATGTATCTTTACGGATCTACACCATATATCTGCGATCACTGTTTTTTTTTTTTTTTTTGTCGAAATATCTGATACACAAAAAGCGTATTGGAAATATCGTGATTTCCTGACAAATTTGAAGTCGTTCTTTCCCCAAATGCAAATTTAAAGAACATCATAATCTTGAAGTCAAAATAGGCATTAATATCACAAAAGGACAGAAAGCCGAAATAATTTCCAACTAAATAATAAAATATAAGTTTGATTACTAAAAATAAGCTTTATTTTAAAAGAATATTCAATTTAAGATTTTAAGTCTTAATCTATTCTTGAAACTTATAGAGACTAAAATTATATATTGCAAATGAATAAAATAACAATAAAAAGACTTGTATGTTGCCGAAAAACAAATTAAAATTTGTCGGAAGATATAAAACAAAGCGACAAATTGGAAACAATTTATATTCAAAAATATTAACACGATGGAGAGATCTCTTCTCAATTTTTTTTAAACGCGCATTACCAGTCAATATTGAGCTCTATCAGCACAACAAATTCCTTGCCAATCTTGCATCAATTGTTGCAAGTGCGTGAGGCAGACTCGCAAGGACATATATAATATATACATATATATATGTATATATGGTGAAAATCGAATCTCTTTCGCGAAGAAATCTCGATGGTAATAGTACTTCAATATATACTACTACAATACTCTCTCTATAGATTATTATATTATTGACTTACGATATTTTATTCTTATGAAAATATTTGTTGTTTTTTTTTTTTTACAGCATTATTTTCTTTTTTTTTCTTTTCTTTCATCTCAGGTCATATATGTATAGTTCTTATAAATATGCATTTCCGCTACGCGCCATATATATGTGTATATATGTATATACGTATACATATACATACATATAGCTAATTCACTTGCTGTTTTCGATCGTATTTTTGCCGCTTAACGGACACAATGTTTCTATATTTGTTGTCGTTTTGAAGTTTGGCTGCATATGTAGACGCAAATCTCTTTGTAACTAAAAAAATCTCATTAATCACAGGGATTTGCAAACGAAATAAATGTTATGAGATATATGTATCGTTGATACATCGAGCTTGAAAGTTCTTCTCTTGTCTCGCATCTCGATTCGTTCGATAAACAGCATGCGATATAAACGAGCTTTACAGAATATTCTTCGAGTATTTAAATGCTTAAAAATTGTTTACAATAATTTGTTTTCCTTTTGTCGCATTTAAACAAACATCGTTACAATTACACGTGTCCGTCACAATCATTTGAGAATTTTCACAAAAGTTCATTCGCTCACAAATGTATGATTACCGTGTTAAGCTGAATTTATAGAAGTTTTTTTTCACAATTTCCAAAGCTCCTGCATACATAGACAATTTTCGGCACAAATTCTTCGGATTCCATTTAGAAAATCGATGTATCTTTATCACGAAAATTTAACGAACTAGAATTAACTAAAGAGCTACTTATCTAGAAAAGTGCTTAAAATTAATTTAAATATAAATTTAATTATAAATTTATTTAAAAATAGATACATATTTAAACGTGCATATATAGAAAATATTATAAAAATAAATTAACGATCAATACTTTACTTTTCTTTTATATAAGGCATTTAGTAATTGTTACGTCAAATTTTAGGATCACATTTTAGTAAAATCTTCGTCAAAAAAAAAAAAAATCTATATATAAGACGAAAATGACAAAAATTGTCTATGTGTTTCAATCGCTAGCTAGTTAAAAAAAAAAAAAAAATCAAGTGCCACATGCAAAAGTGAAGTGTCTGTATTCGTAGATTCACGTATTACCCACAAAAAAAAAAAAAAAATGAAAAGAAAGAATTCAAATAAGATGTGTTTAATTATTAACAGTATATTGGGTTAGTAAACCTGTGAATACGTTAGTTTTGATTAGATTCTTACGGTTATTATCAATACTTTCATCCTAATCATCGCTCACACTTCCTTTCGCGCACTCTTCCTTTTCGTTCTTTCTGCCTATCTTATACACTCATTCACAACTGTAATCTAATCGCAAATCTAACTAATATGCCTCACCGCACGCGTAATGTTAAAATCATAAATCATTAAATCATAAACGGCAAGAAAGCGATTTGTCTCATTGTCAGTATATCATCTATTTTTTTTTTTTTTTTTTTTTTTTGTTTCTTTTTACGTAGAAAAAAATCACATTGGTTTCCTCTCACTAGTTTAAATAAGATAACTAACTCAAGTACAAAAAGCTTAAACTTAAAACGCGTACAAAACGTGAGTTTTTTCGACGCGGTAATGATTGATGTAATGTGTTCGTGTCGCAATCTGCACGTGTCTCACCACGTGTATACACCGGCAGTTAAATCATTCCACGAGAGGAAATGCAAATCCTTTTTCTTTTACTGCGCTGCTTCACTTCAACCGACAACCGCGCGAAAGAAAACGGCGTGTAGAAGAAAAATCTCTTTTCCCTCACGCGGAACGATTCACAGTGCTGATCAAAATATGTATGTGTTATAAATACATGTACGTGTGTTTGTGTGTTTGAAACCTTAATAAATGTCAATGAAGTCGAAAGATGATTAGGGATGATTGGCGACGGGCTCACAAAAGATCTATCATCCCTCCATCTGATAGAAGACGGTACCGGCCGACGCGCTGATCCAAGTCCACTAAGGGCGAACAGACACAGAAGAGACACAATCGGTCAGTCAGAGTGACTTATTTCGGCAATTTGTTTGTTTTTTTTTTTTTTGTTTTTTTACTATGTGAAAAAGACGACGGTGGAGGGCGAAGTGCGTATTATTCCGCTCTGAGATTTTATGCGATTCTCTAGCTCACTCGGATCGAAAACTGCGCTATTACTACTCGTGTAATCGATTTTATTTTTCTGTGATTCATTTAAGAACCACGAGATATATGTGTACGTAATACGCGAACGGAAGAAAAATCACACACGCGTGAAATTAATCTGTCACTCCTACCCTCACCCTCATTTTAAGAGAATATTATACTGTTCTCTCTACAAAAGTCGACAGTACGATGTTATGATAAATGTGTGACAAAGATTGATGATTACCGACTTGCAACGATATACATTTTGATAGCATGCAACAAGCACATAATGCAGGGAGATAACGGCACATCAATACGAAGAGAAGTTAAATTACAAAATATTCTTTGTTTCACAAAACGCTACATACTGTTTGTGCAAAAACGTGATCGCGATCGTGTCCTACATACCTAATGCAACATATAAGTGATGTCAAAACAAGTGAGCATTTAAGTGGCAATTGAAAGAAGATCACCTCTCGATTGTCTAAATATACATTAGTAATTACTCTCAAGATTTATTTACAATGGATTATATACGTACTAAACAAAAGAGATCGTGTAAAAATTGAGATTTCTGCGGCAGTCTTCTTTCAGAAAGAATTGCGATCGAGATGTTTCTACGTGAAAAAGCGACGTGTAATAATATTTTAGTAAAACAACAGATCGAATGTGCAACCCTTTACGGGATTAATATAACGCATCTCGACTTCGAGTGTGCACACTACGTTGCGCACACTACGTTGCGCACTTCGATCTTCTCGACAGGTAGACCAAAGATCGTGAAAAGCAGAATACAATTTGAAATTACAAATGTCGCAGATGCGACTGTAATCTCTTCGGAAACAGAGTAAACAGAGAGAACGGGTAGAGAAGAGTAAAGAAAAAAAACACGATTGTCTGGAGATAGGATTAAAAAAAGTAACATGTATGTTTGTCTACAGAAATATATATAGGCGCAGCAAATAGAAAATATTACAAAATGTATAGTACTTGTGTATGTATATATATATATATATATATATATATATATATATATATAATGTATATGTATGTCTATAATCTTATTCTTAAAAATAATCTGATTACAGAAGTACACATTCTTGTAACATATAGCATTACATTGAAAAATCGTTAACATCTCAATTATGCTTATGTAATAATTGTAAAGACCTCGCGTAATTGAAGAATAGCAATAATTGTTGTCTAACAGCAATAGCTTTCTCTAATATTGAATGACACATTAATGCTACTAATAATAATAATAACAACGATATAGTAATAATAATAAGTATAATAAGTAGTATCACAAAATAATCATTACACATTTAAAACAGACAGAGTTTGCTTATACAGATCTTAAACATGTCTCAAACATTGTAACAGTATCTTCAAGTATGGTCTATATATATAAATTATTTACATGCAACGAGATACATATATACATATGTATGTATATATATGAGAGAAAATAGTTAAAATTATCTAAAAAAAAAAAAGAAAGGAAAGAAAAAAGAGAAAAAACGTAATAGGACTCAGATATTTGTTCATTCGTTCGAAGTATCGTCGACAAGAATGAGAGAACAAGAGTGAATCGCGTCCTTATCGGCATCGCGATAATTTGTACATTTACGCTCTCCAGAAGACATTCAGCACAAGTCTCGATACTACGACCACACAAAAAGTGAAAACTCAACATAGATATTTTCAACTTTCTATGAATACCCAGGCCCTGCGACGCAGAGTGCAGCACCGAATCCAATGGAACAACGTTTTTTATACACGTGATTTTTCGAACAATTTGAAGTCAATTTTCTTTGAGAGGAATATTATTGTTTTTCGTAAATTTTTCGAACGTTTATATTCAACGTTCAAATGTGTCGAATATCTTAATAACTGGTCCCCACTTCAACATTAATTAAGATGAAGTTTGCGAAACCAAAGAAATGAGAAAAATGTTTATTTGATTTTTTTGCAGCTTCTTAAACTAAAAATCTCTTAAATTTCTCATGATATTTTTGATGAGGAAAGAGAAAACTACAAAGTGGTCCGAAAAATCCATAGACAAGATATTGTCCACCAGATCTGTTGCATCACTCTATAGGAAATTCTAAATCAATTTTAATCCTTACTTAGAATACATCGATGCAAAAATTACTCGCTACATATTTACACATCGTGCAATGAACACTTAAGCTTTGGAAGGTTACAGCCCTTCAAAAACTTTAGTCGAAGTTGCACTTTGCGAATTTCTTGGCTGTTCGAAACAAACTACTTCGTCTGTTTACTTTCCTGTCCTCGCGGAAAAATCTTATCTCGATATTGATTTTATTTATTTTTTTTTTATATAAATTAACGGATTTTATGCAATTTTACAATAAATATAATTAAGGTACATATATATATATAACTACATGTGTGTTCGGAGATATACGTGCAGCGCGGAATAGAATACGTGTTTTCCGCTTTCACTTATCTGTCTAGAAATAATCAATGATTTACTACGAATAAAATTGAAAATAAAAACGCTAGTCTTTCTCACTCTTTTTTTTTTCATTTTTTCCTTTTTTCTTGACTTATGACGTGCTTAAAGTAATTCATTGAAATCCGATTTGCGTTGTGTTGCGGAAATTAAAACACGCGGTTGTCTTATTGTATCACAAAGGTTAGCCTTACACACAGAAAACATAATCCGATAATGTAATACTAATAATGCTCATGCTATCAGGCTAATCAAATTATAATGTATTACCGATATCTACAATTTTACCTGCTTAATCTAAAAAAAAAAAACAAAACTCGCGTAGATCTCTCGATAGAGTTAATTGCGTAATAACTGTACACGTTCGATCCCAAAGCCAGTGTATATATATATATGCGTGTTCGTGTGAATTAATTAATTGCATTATTATGCATTTTCCTTATAATATACATATGTATTCGCTATATACGTCACGACTATTACGTGCGTATCCAAATCTAAGAGCGCGTAATCTTCTTTGTATATGTATTAAGAAGCAACGTAAGACATTAGAAAGACAATCGGTTTTAAATCTACGTTCGAATTTTCTCTTTTTCCCCTTTTTTGTACGCCGTTTGATCTTCTAATTTTTTTTTCTTTTTTTTTTTTTATTAACTCTGAGTTACGTTCGATCCGAGTTATTGTTACGAGGAGTTATATCTAGTATCAGCATTCGGAGTTTATTAATCTCGATATTTATAAAGCACGAGCAATAAATTCGGTTTCGCGAGAGAGAAAAAGAGCTTCTCTCTTCTGTGCGCCGTTTTATCCCAGCTCCTGATAGCCGACCAATATCGATCGATAACAATAGTGTGTGGATCAAACACAGTAAAGCTGAAAGTCAACTACATACAGAAAAAGAGAGAGAAATGTTTTTCTCATCTCACGAAACCGAATTATTGCTCGAGAATGTACAGCGTATATAAAAGGCTGATTTTTACGGTTTTTTTTTGTACTTCATCACTGTCGTCGATAAATTGTAAACAAAGATAATTTTTTTCTATTTGCATAAAAATGTGTCAAAAAGATTTTGTAATCTCTTTTTTTTTTTTAATTACAGTTTTAACATCGCTTTTTAAAACTGAATTTTATTACTTCGCTCTTATCGTTTCCCGTTTGTTTCGCCTCATCTCCGTTTACGATTATCTTGACAGCAAATAAACTGTTCAAAAATTGTATTACATAATTTTACTTTAGTAGAAAATAAGTGTCTCTCTTGAACTATAATAGCACGTATAAACCCGCGGGATGCGTTTTCATATTAATGAAATGCATAATAAGTAAAATTTCTACGTATAACGTATCTTTCTATATACATCCTATATATATAGTATATATATATATATATGTGTGTGTATATTCAAACATCTACATGTGTATTTATACGCGTATCTATCACGTAATTTTAATAACAAGATAAACAGTCAACATTCTTTTTTGACGAAATAGGTATCTTAATGTGTGTATGAGATATGCACAAAATCATGAATTCAAAATATTACATTGTGTTCAGTACAGATAAGAAATTTTAGATATTGTGCACAGCCTTATAGCGCAAGTGTTCTATATCTTTTTTTTTATTTCAAAAAACATATAAAAACTTGCGATTATTCCTCAATGCAAATTTGTGATTCTTAGGACGCAAAATAAGTTTCAATTTATTTACAAAATAATTTAGAGTTTAACTTACTTTGCAACTAGCCTACCGAGAAATAGATATGAACAAAATATATAAAGAGTTTTATTCACTAAATTAAAGGTAATTAAATCCGCTAAATTACACACAGATTCCCGCTCTTATCGAAATCTACGTGTATAAACAAAAAATACAAAACAAAAAAAAAGAGAAAAAAACGAGTTTTCGCGCAATCTCGTTGTAATACATTTTTTCGTGATTTTTTTTATATGTTAAAAATATAGAAAAATTGCATTGTTTTATTTGTCGATTAAAAACATGTTATTGCGTAGATCCAAATACTGCGTGGTTTACAATATCGCTAGTTTTGAATAGTTTTATCAAAACAAACAAGAAAATTGATTGCAGTGCAAACATATTGCAAAAGTGCAATAAAAATGTATAAATTGTTAAAAATATAAAAATCTGTTTTTTGTTTAATCAACATGAATTTCACAAATAAACATGTTTCTTGAAGAACATTATCGGAGAATTTAATTAACGCGCACGGTTAAATAATTTCCTTTTGTTACATTAAAAAATAAATTTTTTCAAAAAAAGTGAACCAGAAGCGTAACATTGATACAAAAATGTTTTATTAAACAGTTTGTTAATGTGTAAATTACAAATTACTGAATAACCAATTTTCTTCGTTCAGGTGTACTCACTGCGCTCGCACGGCATGTAATGAAATTTTAAAATTTATAACAGGTGAACGTAATTACTCTCTATTGTTTGAACCGCACGACGACGCTTAAAAAGTATATTATGTGAATATTTTATAATTAAAGAAAAATGTGTATAATTCTCTCTTAACATAGGCTGCATTAAAAATCCATTGTGGATTTTTAATTGTTAATGTGCTACACGCTACACTCTGTTTCTATTTTTTGACTTCTACGTGACAAACTAATCAATTTACTCAAAGCTTTACGCGATGCATATATTCAACAATATTACCTACTTTACTATATATTACGAGCATTACGCGAAGAATTGAACAACAGTTTATACTAATATGCTTTCTCTAGTCAGTAAGATACGAATCGTCAATACAGAAAAAGTAAAGCTCATGGTCCCACGACATAATAAAGAGAAAATGAGAGAGGGAGAAAAAGAGAGAGAGAGAGAGAGAGAGAGATAAAGAGAGAGAAAAAAAGACAAAAAGAAATAACCGTACAAAAAAGGGAAGAATGGTGTAACGAGTGACGTGGAAAAAATTGTCGCACAACGGATATCTCCGAGTTTTAGTCGTCATTTTATACCAGGGCTGTTCAACGCTATTTTGCTCTTTTTTTCTTTGCGTCGGTCGCGACATCATAAAGAAATAGAAAGCAAAAAAGCGTCTTCACAAAACAAAAAAAAAAAAAAAAGAACAAAAAAAAAATGACCGTAAACTGAGTTTTTAAGTACTGAGAGCGTACTTGGTTTAAAACTATTACGTGTCGAGAGTGGCGGAGCGCGCGAACGAAGCGGAAGAATGCTTCGTGCTCGCGCCGGCTGCACTCTGTCTATTACTGCTCCTGCTCTTGTCGCCGCGCGACAATAGACACTTTGCAGTCTCCTTGAGACTGACTCGCGGACGGACACTAACGTGTTTACGGCTACTGCTGTGTGTAAGGGGATGGTGTTGGTGTTGATGGTGGTTCCCCACCAAGGATGCAGAGGACTCACCGGATTCCCAGCCGTCCTCGTCGCCAGTGGTATCGCACTCGCTGCTGTCAGCCTCGCTGGACTCACTAGGCGTTTCCTGCCCGCTCATTCCCAACTGCATGCCATCCCCGGTTCTGTTCATCGTTGCCGGCACAGCTGGCGATATACTCCCACCCACGCAATGCATAAATAGACTCACCTGTAATTAAGCGAGATCCGTAAATAATTAAACGCTGTATACTCTCTCTCTCTGTGTGTGTGTGTGTGTGTATCTCAATTATCAAGTTGCGATTAATTACTATTTATTTGAATTTAAGTTTAACAATTCAAGACACACATCTTGCATCTCGATTTCAATTGATACTTAAATTTTTTTTGCTTTGTGTATGAAGTAGTATTCTTATCAGAGAAATGCGGAGAAAAAACTCACTTTAAAATCTGGACTAAACGTTTTATGATTTTTATCCTTGTGTGCATCGTCCAATCCCGACTTGTCTATCCGTAAAACGAGAGTGGGCGGCATGGAACCAAGACTCGTCAATGATCCCGTTCTAGATTTTACATGCGACATCACCATTGGCAATTCCATGGTTGTGCCGTCGCAGCTCAATGCTCTTGTCGATCTCTCAACAGGTAATTCGCCGTTATCGCATTCGGAATTAGTTTTCTCACGGACAAAAAATGTGTTAAACCAAAAATGAAACAACTTCTCCTGAAAAAGAGGCACACTCCAAAGTATCGTTCAACAAATTGATAAAAATAAATATCAAATAGACACTAACCTTCCGTTTCATTTTTGGCCTGAAGTTGTAGAAGTCAACTCGTATGTCTCCTGTTATAGCGAGATTGTGTTGCAACGAAATGCATATAGAAGTCATGCCTTTCCGAACCTCGTAAATATCTGAAAATATTCTGTTCTTCGATTGGGAGATTACAAAACGCAGACCTGAAAAAGCACAACACATAAGTTAAAGATTTGTTTCTTCCAAAGAAACACTCAGTAAAAAAGCGTATCGATTAGTAATAATATAAAGTTTCATGTGCCTAATAACTTTTGTACAAATTACTTACAGCCTTGACCACCGTTTAAAATAGGGACCGGATCCAGCTGTATTTTACGTAGTATCAACGTTACCGGTTGATAATTAAGACCCTCTTGGACAAGGGTAGCGTAATATTCTACATATCGTATCTGCGAAGGTATCGTTACACCTTTTCTGGATCAGAATAAAATCGCGCAAATGAGAAAATGTGAGTCACAACGGTGGCTGTCATGTCCAAAATCCTTGAAATTTTATATTTACCTGTCGTGGGTCCGTTGATTTCCGTAATAATTAAGAGCTTCCGTGGCAGTGGGAAATTGTTTGATGTGAAGTAGATAACAGCACACCATTACACCTGTTCGGCCCTTTCCTGCCTTGCAATGAACTACAGCCACATTGTTCTTATGTTGAGACAGCCACGAATGCACGTCCTCACAGAACGGCTTGATCTGTTCCAGCTTTGGTGGATTGTGATCATCGAACGCGTAAGTAGCTACTCTTTCTTTGAACTTCTTGCAATCGTATGATCTCTCGGAACATCTGAAAAAAAAAAAAAGATTAAGATAATGTAATGCCATATACAACAATATTTTAATGATCATCGTTCTGTAAATAACTTACAGATTATAAATCTTATAATGGTCTTTGTGTTTGTGCTCCAGTAATTTAACAACGTCATCAATATGATTTCTATACACACCCTCTAGCTTCTCAGCAGGGAAACCCATCGCTATTAAATTATCTCTTATATCTATTGTTTACAATTAAGAAATTTATTTAGCATTAACATAATTTTGCGACTATATAAAGCAATATTTTCAAGCTCAATGTTTTTTGATACAAAAATAATGAAGCTGCATAAAAGGATACATGTGAGATCAAGATCAAAACCGTCTTCTGTAAAACGTTTACGGCGTTTGCTGACAAGCCCCTTTATGGGGTTGGTCATTTTCATGTTGCTGATAGTGTTGGCCATACTTGGCTGGCTCTGTCTTAACTCTCCTGTCTCGACCTCAATCGAACTACTCTCCGCCACCTCTTCGGAAATCTCTTCTTCTGCTTTTTGATTTTCAAAGGTCTTTTTAACCTGTAAGAAGAATTATGAATAACAAAATATTGTCATACAAATGCGAGTATAGTTCGTATATCTCTGTAAAAATAAAATGTTAATTTATTTTTATAGTGCGTTTAAATGTACCTGAGGCTTGTGAGCTTGTGAAGCGTCACATGAGCCCAGTTCTGGTCCTCTTTGTTCCTCCAGACAAACATGGAGAGGAGTTACTGATGCCGAAATGTGCTCAGAAATTTTTGTGTTCAACCTGCCGCTAGTGGGTCTCCTGCAGGAAAAGCATATACCCATCAATTCCCAAAACATGTGTTCCTCTACTTGGGCATTTTTTCATCAAGCATGTCCTATTTCTCCACTGTGAGGTTTGGTGCTGATTCTTGATAGGACCGCTTCATGACAACGTTCTGTCAGCCAGACATGATTCACACGAACACGCAAACAGTGAAACTCCACGCGGAAAGTGGCAGTTCTTTATCAAAAAGCTGTCCACGCACGTGTGTCGGCAAAGAAATATGAAACGCGGAAACGCACACTGTACACGATCTCCTTTTCTCAGAGGCTCTGTAACCAAATAACTGTCATCAAGAACACTGGAACCTCGCGCCGTTGCATTGTTCACATCGGAAACTTTCTTATCTTCGCAGTTGGCCTAACAGATGGACATTTCTACATTGAAAATCACAAAAGATCACAATCAACTTCAGTATCCAACAGCAGTAGCAACAACGGTGGCAGCAACGGGAGAAAGAGTCTGAGAGAAAGAGAAAGAGAAAGAGAGAGAGAGAAAGAGAGAGAAAGAGAAGGAGAGGGAGTGAGAGAGGGAGTGAGAAAGAGTATTTTACCTTTACTTATAACGAGGTAAAAGACTCCGACAATTAGGGATAAGAAAACCTACGGAAGCACCGCGAGCGCGCAGACAGAGATGCTCGATCGGGAGCACCGGTTATTTCTACGCGCATTCACACAACGAACGCGAACACTCGCGAGTCGCGCTGGCAGGTTAGCATCGCTGGTAGGTGCGACCTCACATAGAGAGTCGCTCTACTCAGTGGTCTCGGTCTGTCGGCGGGTAATGCGATTGAATTCTGGGTTTTGGAGATCCAAGCCGGTCGGACTCGACGCGCCGCTTTTGTGTTCGACGTGCCGTTTATCGAGGCAACGCACATCGGGGGGACGAGATCCACTGACGCAACGGAGACGAGAGAGACGACACAACGGTACGAGAACGGCAGTTTTAGGTTAAGCGCGCTCGCACTTCTCTCGGTCTGCTTGCACTCTCCGTGCAGAGAAGAGGAGGAGGAGAGGGAAGCCGAAAACCGAGCGGTTCTCTCTCGCTCTCTCGCACACTCGCGAACGACGGCACATTGGCGGAGGCGCGAATTTTCCTCGCGAAGAAAGTTTCATGGCGCGAATATAAACGGGGAGATCTTTTATTCACCGTGTGTATACACTTGTCTTCTCTAAGACAAACGTAACATGTAGTATTGTCTTCTCTCTGCCAAGATTGAAACCGAGAAAAAGATCGACCGCGCAATGAGACCGCAGCTTGGAATTGACAACTGCAAGCAAGAGACAACGCGCCGCGCTAATTGTTCTCTTTCTTTCTCTTTCTCTCTCATATATATATATGTACTTTTCTTTCTCGTACAAGCGGATATATAGGCGACAATGATTGTCGCCGTGTGTTTGTTATCCAGAGATAGTTTTGCAGTGATGTATTACCGAGACACTTGGCATCGCGCGACGGTTATAACGGCGATGATACAGTATGCTCGACATGTGTCATTAACGTTTAGGTTCGGATCAGTGTGAATGCAAATTATATGTATATACGTACGATGTATACATGTATATATATATTTTGTATATAGTTATATATATATATGTACATATCTCTCTTTTTCTATGTCTCGTTTCTTGAACTCCTGTTGACGACGACCATGGACGATCGCGATTCATTCACTCCGTTTCGTCGGTATTGCGTTCTTTTCTTCACTGCTGTTTTTTTGTTAACAAACTCTTAAAAATTGCGAGAAAAATGATAATCTCGGAATTTCTCTACGGCTTTTAAAATCCATCACGTTTCTCATTTTAAAAGAGAAAAATAAATATTAGAGAAATTATTCTAATCAAATTTTATTATTTCATCGTATACATGCTTAACACATTTTTTTTTTTTTTTTTTTTTTAAATATTGTGCACACTTGATTTAGTTATCTAAATTTCGAAATTTTCAGGTAACTTTAGATTTTTACAGAAATGTCAATATAAATCGACCAAAAAAATTGTTTTTTTCTCGATTTATATATTTGACTTCTATATATTACATTCTTTTTCTCTTATTATTATATGAGAATCTTTTTACATATACCTATACGTATATACAAAACCAAATGACACATCTAAAAATATTCGATAGATTCTAGATATTACTTTTTTTTCATAAAAATGTAAACGTAGCACAAAAAAATCATGATCAACTTTACTTAATATTGTAAAAAAAATGTATATATATATATATAATATTAACATATATCACACACCAAAGCTATGATTATAAGTATAGTTATTACAGAACTGAAACTGTAATATACACAAATGTTTTATATATGAGAGGAGGGAGGTACAAATATAATTTATATAATTTGCAATGTGTGTGTGTGTCTGTTACTATAGAATATAAAGGATTATACAATATAAAGTTATTTTTTCTGTATCTTACAAAGTAAAACAATATATCTTATATAGCTCAAATAACTACATAGTAAAGCATGTAACAATAAATCAAACTTAATATATTTAAGGAAAAAATCACATGATTACATTGTATTCTGCAGTTTCAGTTAATAATAAAACTAGTGCAAGAATATGACAAATATACATTGTACATTAATTTATCGCGTGACCAGCATACAAAATGCATATGTATATGTAAGAAATCATGATTATGTAAATTTATGTAATATACTACACGTGCATGTATACGTAAAAAACATCGCATGTACACAGTACGTATACATGCACAAAATAAGATTTTGACAAGAAAAGAACTACAAATTGTTAAATTTATAGAAAAAAAATTTATAAAATTTATTAACTTTAAACATATATATAACACCGATATGATTATATCAAAATAAGTTGCAACGACTTAAGATAAGTTGAATCGGCAAAGATAATTACCGGTGATTTTAAGAAAGAAATTGATCACGAACAACATAAACATCCTGACTTTAAGTTAAATTTGCAAAAGCTTTTGTTAGGAAGTGTCTAATTGTTGTATCAAAGAACAGTTGCGTTCTGTGCTGAAGCTGAGTACTGTAAAGATAAACTCTGATATAACAAAAATAAATGTTTCTCGACAAAGAGCTTTTAGAAACTTTTGTGATCCAAAGAACTATTTAATTATAAAAATAAAAGAAATTACACGCGCGCGTTTACATTGTATAGATTGCGCAATTTCTAAATGTGTAAAGTTACGCGACTTTATTCCCTACTACGAGTTTTTTGAATGACAATATATCATTTAATATACGCATTAATTTTAGACATTTATATACTTATTACAGCTTATCTTAAAGCGTCATCTTAAAAATTTATCTCATACAATCTTAACTTTCAGATGGCGAATAACCAACGATGGATGCGATTCAAACAGATCTAGGACCCATCGAGAGAAAATAAATATTATTTAGAATGACATTGAAATTTTATATGCACACGCCCAATTTACTTTTTAAAATTTTCAATATTTTTTTATTTTCTGATGCATTGTAAATACATAACGTTTCTTTTTGTTATATTTCAACATCATGAGCTTCTATAAAAAATTTTCAAAACTTACGATTAGAAAAACTGATGAAACCGATAATATCAATGTCATTTTCTAGTATCTCATCGTTCTCTAGTATCTCAACATCCTTGTAACATAGGTATAGCTGTCGAGAAAACATACACTTTTAGTTAATAATAAAATTTCTTTACTTAATCCAGATCTAATAATTGTCTCGTACTAAGTGTGCCTGTTTGCAGCTTTGCTGTTCTCATTTTAGTGAACGATTTTTGCAGGTCCTCCATTGTGATAGGTCGCACAGTATCATGATACACTTCATCGTCACTTGTACTGTTTTGAAGTCTTTCTCCATCGCTATAAATTTAATATTACATACATCACATACACACACACACACACACAGAAAGCGAATGAATCCAACTTTGTCGGATAAACTCTTTGATTGTGTAAATATAATATAATAGTTAATTTTCTTTTTTTTACGGCTTTAGATACATACTGCGTAGACAGGTAGTCTCTGATACGATAAATAGATGCTTCCCGACAAAGTTCTTGCAGATCTGATCCAGAGAATCCTTCAGTATTCTTTGCCACTTTCGGGATGTCTACGTTACTTGCGATCGGCTCGTTTCTTAAAATCAACCGCAATATTTCGAGTCGTTGTTGCTCATTCTAAAACAGTTATTTTCGTTAAGTTCATATAAAACTTCAATATTTGTGTGTAATATAATTTTTACGTGTAAATTTACCGGCAAACCGATGTAAAAAGTCGCTGGCATACGCCGCAGAATTGCTTTATCCAAATCCTGCGGTCTATTAGTAGCTCCCATTATCATCACTGTACAATCGGAATCAGTTATCAAACCATCCCATAAAGACATAAACTGAGCCTTCATCATCGCCGTGGCTTCATGATCTTGAGAATTGCGCGATCTCAAAAAAGAATCTGTTAAAAGAGATTTATATTGTTTATAGTAAAACATTTGTATTGTTTATATTAATGTGTATAATTTGTCTGTAGCACATGCAAGAAACTGCTACTTCTGTGACGCACCTATTTCATCAATAAAAATAATGCACGGCTGCAGTTTTACAGCCAGGGAAAAAACAGCAGCAGTTAATCTTTGACTTTCTCCATACCACTTGTCAGTCAAAGTGCTCACATCCAGATTTATGAAGCGTGTCTTTACCTCCCGGGCAGTAGCCTTGGCAATCATAGTTTTACCGCAACCTGGCGGACCATACAATAATACTCCCTGGAAAGCATAAGATGCATGAACATTTATATCAAATATAAATTTTTATTTTAACAAAATTCCTTTAATTATGAATCAAAGTAACATAAAAGTCATAAAGATGAGGATTATGATTGATACCTTGGGTGCTTGAATCAGTTGAGAATCCTCAAATAATTCTTTTCTCTGTATAGGCAATATAACAGTTTCTTGCAGTTCTTGAATAACACTATCCAAACCTGCAATGTTATTCCAAGATACCTTGATGTCATTTGGATCTACCAAATTATTGGCTATAACTGTTTCATATTCTGTTAGTTGATTTATATCAACATATTGCTTGTTGTTATAGTTGTCATTTTCTATCATCTTGCGTAATTTTTCTCGAGCCTGAAGTAATTATTTTACACACAAAATATAAACCAGCACTGAATTAATTTTGCAATAGAAACTGAAGACAATTTTATGGTCCTGTAATTTTCTCAAAAAGATGACAAAAAATGACTACAAACCTTCTTTTTGGCTTTCTGTTTAGAACCTCTAGTAGGATCGAGTTGATTCATGAGCCATCTCATGCTGACGAAACCAAGTGCTGCGAAGAAAGTCAATCTAGCTAAGTGCACCATGACTTCCTGTCGCGTTAAACCGGCACTTGCCATGTTCATCTTGATATGCTAACAGTAAAATATATAAAAATCATTAAAATATCCAATACATTTGGTTGTGTTAACAAAGAATAGAATATGCAATTTAGAGTTCAAGGTAAAATAACATTTTTGTGTTTAGAAAAAAGATAAAATTTATTCAATAGTATCAAAGATCGAAGCAAAATGTTCTCAGCGAAATATTATTACCAAAAAATTGTTAACCTAATCTAACCTATACCGAGACAGGCAACTATGACAACCTACGTAATATAATTAGACGACTGTTCTTTTCAATTCTTCTCGAAATGACATCAAATGACCAGGTAAAGACTCTCACGATCTTCCTCCAACAAGACAGCTATTTCTCTGCTGTTTAGTTCAGATTTCAACGCAGTGCGGATGTAACATGATGGAGATGCATGATGCATGGAATGAAGATATGTAGCAAAATTTTAAAGGCCGTTACACAATGGCCACGTTCAATTGTATTCCGATTTTTGGTGCTCTTTCAATCACATGATAGTCCACGGTCAAAATGTAAACTCAACCTGTCAATGGCGTATGAACTAGCATTAGAGTCCAAGAAGTCATAAAATCAAATCAAATCGACTCAACCTGTCAAATTGCGAGCAGAACAGAGCAGAATAAAAAAAAAATAAAACCGACATTCGCGTCCAAGCATGATTTTCGACGACTGCGTTGGCCCTCGTCTTTTCCACTGTTGATTCCTCTTCTTGATTATAAATTTTTTAAGGAGAAGTGGATAGAAAGTTCTACCATAAGTAGATTTTAAAATATCTCATTTTCAAAAATCGGAATTAATGTTCGTGATTTATAAAGTGATTAGATTGCAAAATAAACAGAACACAATCAGATCTATTTGAGTTTATACACGTAGATGAATTTATTGATAAGTTGTTCAGAGAAGGAAGATGTTGCAATGCTATTTTATCAAAAATTCAAAACGTTAGAAGAAAATGAACTACCACACACTCACACATATAATTTAATTACGACTAGCACAACACAGGCGCGCGCTACGCGCACGCTATTGTTATTTTTATTTAACGTGTTGTCAGTGAACATAACCTGTCACCGCGATGACAGATAGTATATACGTCTTATAAACCATATAATACACATATGAGAAATGTTAGAAATAACGCATGAAAATCAAACTCAAAAAATAGTGAGAGAGAGAAGTGGAAAAACAACACGTGACAGGGAAAAGGGTAAAAAAGAGAATATTATATATATTATATATAATATTCTATATCTATATATAATACACACACATACGCATATATGTATATATATATATACCGTAATCACGTAACCGAAGTCAGTAACACCGCCGCGGTCGCGCGGCCGAAGTCAGCGACTCCACCGCAGTCGCGCGACTGCGGCGGGGTCACTGACCGTAGTCGCGCGACTGCGGTCAGTGACCCCGCCCCCATCATGGCCGCGCGCCCGCGATCACTGACCCCGCCCCCACCAAGGCCGCGCGGCCGAGCTCAGTGCCCCGCCAAGGCCGCGCGGCTGAGGTCAGTGACTCCGTCAAGGCCGTGCGGCCGATGTCAGTGACATTACTGTAGTATGTGTGTATATAATACATATAATACAATATAAAGTATAATATTATAAATATATAATAAATTATATGTATATATAATATATATTATTTAATATATTATTTTTATTTTAACATATTCCGTCAGTAGACACAACATGTCACCGCGATGACAGCTAGTTTGCATTTTCTGGTAGGATTTATTTATATTAAATAGAAGCAAAGATATCTGTCTTAGAAGATGACATAGATGGTAATGAAACTTTAGAGAAAAAAAGAAATTCTTCCATCTAAAAAATTCTGAAAACAAAAATTAAATAAACAGATTTTAAAATGACGTATAGGATTGTGTTGTCGGCTGAAAACTTTAAAATAACGTAGGGGTCTACTTTGTTGGCCGCAAATATGTTCATAATTCATATAGTCGCAAAAAAACAAAAAACTAAAAATTACAAATTTATTCTCCAGACGAACTTATTTTCTCTTTCATTTCTGTACAAGAAGTTTTGCTCGCAAGTCGTTCAATATCTTCTTTCAACGTTAAAATAATCTGCTGATATTCTTTTATTTGTGTTACATATTTCTCCTGTAGTTCTTCATATCCGCGATATGCTTGTTCCAACATTTTTTTCGTTTCTAAAGATTGCACATCTCTTCGCGTTAAACCTAAAATACTTTCCATGTGCAAAATATCTTGCTGGACTTTTTGTAATTCTTTCGTTAAAATGTTTACTTCTTGAATGAGTATACTATTTTCTTCCATCTTCTTTATCAAATCTTTATTATCAGTAGACGTATCTTGAGACATTTGTTTTTTTAGAGACGTAATAGTCCGTTCAGAGTAATCTTTTTGCTTGATTTCGTATTGAACGTCCGTCTTGCGACTGTCTAAACATTCATCGTCCGCGCTATATTTATGATATAAATCTTTCACGGCACGTTTTAGATCGTTCGGCTCTTGCACGAGTCCCGCGGCATCGTGAATATCGATGCGAATGTTTTTCACAAGCTGCTGCCACTTTTTGTTTTTTTGCATTTCTCGATCAATTTCTTGGTACGCGCTATGTAATTTCTCCTGAACTTCACGCAAGTGTAACTCTAAATTCGTAATAGTTTTATGAAGATTTGTAAATTCGATTTCCATGTTTCGAATAGTTTCCTTCAACTGCTGTATCTCCCGATCTTTTGGTTCTATCTGATTCTTCAATTCCTCAATCTTGTAATTCAATACAAATTTGAACTTTTCCAATTCCTGATTTATTTGCTTTATATCATATATCTGTTGCTCTTTATCTTGAATAGTGGCCTCTCTTTCACTGATTTCCTTTCTTAAATCCGTTATTTGTTTCTCTAGTTCTTGTATATTTTTGTGAAACTGCGCATATTCGCCTTGCACACGATGTACTTGTCTCTTCAAATCGTCCACATCCTTTTGACTGGCCATAAATTTATTTCGCATCACTCCGGCCTCTCCTTTCAATTTCATATTGATTTGCTGTTCCTCGTACAAGAGACTTTCGTATTTCGTACGTATCTCAAGAATTTCGTTATCCGCGTCGTCTTCTATCTTTGTTATTAAATCCTCGTGAATGCGTTCTTTGTGCGTCATTTCGTCAAACGTTTCTTCCAGTTGCACTTTCTTCGCATGAAGCAAATCTTCGTATTTCGTTATCGTTTTCTGTAATTCTTCCGCGTCTCGATTTTTAAGATCTTTTAATTGTTTTTCGTAATCCTCACGCATTACATTGGTACGTTCTTCGAATGCTTGATATCTGTCGTATTCTGTAAGCAATTTGGTCTCGTAAGTGTTTTCCATCTGTTGCATTGCCTCGTCGTGATTCATCTTGATCTTTACAATTTCCATATTTATGTTGTTGATCTGATTCATATGATCCTCCTGAAGCTTTTCGTTTTTATCTCGAAGTTCCTTAATGGCTTTGCTATAGCTTTGATGTACGTCGCGTAATAAATCGTTGTGCTGAACGTCAATTTGTCGCAGTTTGTATGCGTGTTCAGTCTCCAATTCTTTCATTCTTACGGTGAGAGTTTTTATCATGTCCAATTTTTCCTCTAAATCTTGTTTTCCAATTAACACTTCATTTATGTATGATAATTCTCTGCTCATCGTTACGATCTTTCCCTCAGGAAAATGAAGCTTCCAAATGCACAAACTGCCGTCTTTCGCAACAGAAACCAAATATTGTTCATTGAAAGAGAGCGCGATCTTGGACAGAAAAAATAAAAAAGAATTTAAACAAATAGAGGAAAAAAGATATGTGAATTCACGTGAACTTTCGAAATAGTAATACCATTGTAACGTCGACGCAGTGTATATGAAAGTCTGTAGCTTCTATTGGAGCTTGAAGTGGACTTTTTAACGAAAGAATGACACCACTAGGACATGTTACAAATAATATCGAGTCATCTTTTCCCATAATTATTTGATGCATTTTTCTACCAGGTAAACGAAACTCTCGAATTACCTAATAAACAATAAAAAATCTCAATATTTAAAAACTGATCATATATACTTTACGTGGAAAGAAAGTTTAAAAATAGAATCACAAATATATATGTTCTCTAAAATCGTAAAAGAGATATCGAAATATACCTCATTCTCCTTGATTTCACGTATATAATCATCATGAGCAATGCAATAAATAAACGACATATCTGAAGAAAGAGCAATGTCATGCAAAACGATGCCTTTCAGAATGACCTCGCCGGATCGTGTACCAGTTGACATGTCCCACTCGTAAATGGCACCCTCTGCGCCCATACTTATTATTTTCAGATCTGTGTGCGACCAGAGAAGAGTCTTCACTTTGCCTGTGTGTCCTTTGAGAACGTAAAGATTGTAGAAACCAATAGTATTGTATATTTGTATTACATTTCCATTGACCGCAGCGAATAAATGACCACCGTGACTGAAACGGATTGTTCTACAATTTCTGACAGCGATCTCGTGTATCGGCAACAGATCGTCGATCAGAATATTCATGAAACGTAATTTGTCAGTAAAGCCTATCAGACAGAACAGACCCATCGGATGCAATGCGATTCCGGATATATCCTCATTGTACTGCTTAAGCATAATTAAACTCTCGGTTTCGAAGTTCCACAGTCGAATAGTGCGATCAAGTTCACCACATGTCATGAAAATTGGTTTCCATGCGCACATAGCGAGACCGCTGATGGGACCATGATGCAACGATTGGCCCATGATATTTAACGCCTGTGGTTCAGGATCTATTTGCAGACTCGCACCCCACAATGTGGCATAATACAGTTGGGACCAGCCAGCAGTAACAATAAGCTGATCAAAACTAAGATTCACATTGATTGTATTGATCTTATATATTTCAGATTTATCAATTTTCATCAATTGCTGCGGAATAATATAAACGTTTCTTTTTGTATACTTATGTTTTCCTTCTTTCTCAAAAAGTATTACTGTTCCTGCACCATAGGCATAAACAAATCCTCGCGGAAACGCGATTAAACACTGTATATTTTGTTCCCAAGCAAAGTCATTGTAAGCATTTGTCATCTGCAAACCAGTAGTTGCAGTAGCAGGCATAATATATTCCTCACGGATCTTAAGATTCATCGATACTGTGTCAGACATTTTATATATGTTCTTTAAATTGCCATTCTCCAAATAGAGCACACGACCATCATCAGTACCGACTAGCAGCCGATCGCCATCCAGCCAGGTCATTGAGCAAACGAGAAGATTTTCTGCCTTAGCAAAACCATAAGGACGCCATACCGCATCAGAAAATGTGAGAAATTTGAAGATATATACACCACCAATTGCTACTACTGCTATGTCCAATGGATTACAAGCAAGTACTTTAGCAATTGCCAATGGATTTTGAGAATTAGTTATTTTGAAAGTTGACTCAACTTTGCCTTTTTCCCAATTATAAAACAGCATTATTTGATCATGTTGATTATGTTTGCCAGTGATTGCTACTAAATTTTTACTGTCAAAGGTGAAGCTTAAGCACATAAATCTGGTCACTCCTGGAGCATCAAAAGGTATTCCAAGCAATTTTCGACGCTTTAAAGAACCGAGATCATAAACAGATATAGTAGGTTTGTCTGCAACTTCGGCTAAAGCGGCATATTTCCTTTAAAAATATGTTGATTAAATTTATTTGAATATCTTATAAGATACAAGTACAAAATAAATTAATAAGCAAAAAAAGGAAAAGGATTCTTTTGCTAAAATAAAAAATTATATATTTATAAATAAAAGATATATTTATTTGTGACAAAAATAAAATTATTGTACAAAAAACGTTTCTGTGCATAAATTCATTACTCACTTATTAGGTGAGACACAAATAATGTTTATGGAATATTTGTCAGGTATTTGAATAAACTTCTGATGACGTTGCAAAATATCATGAACTGCTATTACATTACCAACCGGATACAAAATTTCCGTATCCGTGATATAATGCGCATTACCAATAATATCGGTTCTCAAACCATAAAAAACTCGAGTTTGCAACAATGCCATTTTTTTGTTCAAAAAATATTTACGAATATATAAATGATACAAATATTCTTTATCATTTTACTAAAAACTTGTTTCTTTAACTTCCCTGTCTTTTTTTAATGTTCTTGTTATGGATGTAAAAACAAAGGCTATCCCCTTTGCGATGACGTTGTAAGGGCCATTGCACGTGAAAAAATTTTAACCGTAACCGTAGGGTCGTAAGCAGTTCAACCAATTACAGACCAGTATTATCTTTACATTAGCTGGAATATTGACCAGCGATTAATCGATTTGCTTCAGCAAAACTCAGCTTAGCAAGCGCTTTACGACTGTTGTCTGTGATTGATCTCTTCCTGTAAATTTGTTGCAAATATAAAAGTATATGCCAATGCAATAATCGCAAAGCGCAGCCATTTGACTGCGTTCTGATTTTCACTGCCAGTACTACACTCTGTTCAGAGAGAGAAGGTACTTCTTCTTCTTTGCTTCTATGGCGCACGCCCCTGCACGTGAGGAACAAAAGCCAGTCTGAGACAGGTTGATTGAAAGCGCGATACTAGGAATTTTATTTCAGGTGCTACGTTTCTAGGGAAAGGGTAAAAGGAGCAGGTGTAATAAGGATGTGGAGTGGTAGAGAGAGAAGGTATCTGCTCTGCTCATAGCAGAGAGAAGAATGAGAGCGGCTAGGCCTATAAACAAATAAGTAACCGCAATGTCCATAGTGTGCGATGGACACTGGCAACTACATAGCTATGTCTACGACCAACTTGTCGGTATATACGTTATAGAACAGAACCATTTTTATGTTTGGACATTGAATACGTATCGCTACGTAGTTTTCAATGTGCACCGCCCCTGGACATGCGCTAGTTTACAGGTGGAAAAGCGATTACACATTCTTTTATGGACCTGGCCGCTCTCAGGCTTCTCTCTCCTCATAGAAAGAAAAGCGGTCAAAGTGGGGATGGAGTTGCGCATGGGACATCCGCTGATGGCCCTTAGACCATATATACTTATAGACGCGGCTTCAGACAACTATCTTGAAGCAAAGATAATATTATCTACATGACGTCACATGTGGGCAAAGCAAAGGCGCGTTTATAGACGGCTCCAGATAACTGCCTTGAAGATAAGATAATATCATCTACGAGGCCGCGTTTAGCCATTGCTGAAATGCCCACATGTGACGTCACGTAGATGATATTATCTTTGCTTCATCTCGACTCGTGGATTCATATCTACAGGTCGTGTCTATAAGTATATATAGTCTAAGCATGGAACATCCGCTGACGGCCAATGGCTGTGAAGTGGAAAGGTTTCTGTATTGTAGGGGAAACGGACGAGTTTTCGTCCTCTTTGATTCTCTTTTCTCATTGAATTCAGCATTAGAAGCAACGTCATCAAATTGTTAGGTACCACTAATGTAATCTAATATAATCTTCAGAGAGACAAAAAAGTAAGACTTCTAAATATAATTTAAGATAAAAGATAGTACCTGTTTTCCTTTATATAGCTGTATATTTGTTATGTGCGGTATTATTATTCCAGCACTATCAACGTTTCACAAAAAATTACACAGTCAAATTCGAGTCTTTTAAAGAAACGGATGTAATAAACGTCTTTGTGCGCATATGGTAGTAAAAAGGAACAAGTGAAATTAGCAAACATCTTCATATTTTTATATGTGTTATTATTATCAATAATATCTAGCAAAGCTTGTACAATTGTAGTACTTGACACTGCTCAAGATTAGATAGGAAATAAAATGCGTCACGACAAAAATCCGAAAAGCTCGTCCTCTGGATTTACCTACTTCGAGAACTCTCAGTCATCAAGTTCGCAAGTTCGAAATGCATCTGGATTTGGACAATCTACACCTGGATTTAATACAAATTACCCCCATTTTGGATCTTCTTCAAATATGTTTGGGATATCAGCTAGCACAAATACATCTGGAATAAAGACAACACAAACGACAATAAACACTATTCCAAACATAGTCACAACTAGCACAAGTTCATTTGGAAGTGCGTTTGGAAGTCTTGGAGGAACATCAACTAGCACAGAGACTGCATTTCTAGCGTCAAGCACAAACCAAGTTGCAACAACCAGCATATTCCAAAATACATGTAGTACACTTCCAACTAATACAAATAATACAAATTTATTCTCAACAAGTAGTAGTCCACTACCTGGAAAGCCACTATATAGCCATCCTTTTGGAATAAACTCAAATGGTTTTAAAATACCCAGCTTTAATCCAGCTGACATTCCAACTGGACTTACAGTTAATGAAGCTATAGAAAAAACTACAAATACAGAACAAGTAAGTTTATGTACTTTTATTTTATTAATTTTTTTTGTTTTTTTTTAGACATCTGATATTACTCAAATTTTTCCAATCTTTTTTTATCATTAAATTATTAGTTGATCAGTTATAGTTTATTAACTATATACATGAGACAATAAATCAGTTTGAGTTGAAGTAATTACACAGAAAATCAAATTTTACATAAAAATTATATTTGCTTGTGTATATATAATAAATATAAAATAAATGTAATACATGTAATTAAATAATAATTTTCAGAATTTCTCTATTTCTTTACAGAAATCTGTAGAAAATAAGATAATACCGCTTCAATCACACATACCTTTGATTAATGTAAGTTATTGCAAAACATTCTTAAAGTCAGAAAAATATAAGTTTACATGGAAACTTGAGCGTTTCAAGGAAATTCATAGACTGGAAGATACATTGATTGCAGAAAATTCAGAAGAGTCAGAATCACATCCATATACAATACATATGAAAGTTTTTCGTGCATCTGATGATAATCTACATGATAACCACAAAAATAACACATCCTTATTAAAAGATAAAATAGCATTTTACATACTTCCTGCTGTAACTTTTAAATGTACATTTACTGTTAACGTTATTAAAGATTCTAAGTTTATACAATGTAAAGTGGCATCTGGGACAGGATCTATATCTAAATCTAAAGAGACGTTATTATATGAAACTACAGCAGAAGAATTATATAAGATGCTTTATAAGGAAAATACACTTTTAATTGAATTCATATTTGAAGTCTATCGTAAATGTTCACTAAACACTACATATTCTTCAGAATTTAAAGAAGATTCCAACTTGAAATCCAAAGATTTAAACTTTGATAAATATTGTAATTCTGATGATAAGCAATCGATCAAATTTATAATTAATGAGAACGATTATATTGTACCTATAACACAGTTACTTGCTACCAACAGTAGGTATTTTGAAGAAATATGTAATAATAAAGAAAAAGAAAAAGACATTACGGATGAGATAATATCTGATCGCAAACAGGAGATTTTTATGATAATGATCTCATTTATCAAAACCGGTTTGATACCAGCCATAATTGAAGTTAATGACCTGAAAGATTTGCTAAGACTAGCTTATAAATTCGATGTGCAAACTCTAAAATTGATATGCGAGGAATGTTTACTATCTTATATTACACTGTCTACTGCTATAGACTTTATGCAGCTCGCGACTTCATGTAATGCAAAGTGTTTGGAAAAAAATGTTGAAAACTTTCTAAAAATACATATACAGGATATAATTTCATTAAAAGAATTTCATCTTTTATCACCGGAACATTTACAAAAGATAATTAAGATCAAGGAGGAAGCTGAAAATAATGTTTGAAGAATGTGTGCTTTTCAATTAGTAATATAATATGCATTTGTTCAATTATTTTAATTTTAATTTGTTCTATTTCTTCTATAAATTTCTTTTATTTTATATTATAGTAATCTTTGATTTTTCTTCATTACATAATTCTGTATTTGTTTTCATTACTGATTTCAAATAAATATGGTACACGAAAGTATGAACTTCATAGATTATCTAATGTCAATATTGTTATTGATATAGATTAGAGATATACTGTGTGCCTACACACTTAAACCATATTGAAAACTCGAAATTCTAAAACTTATTCTGAAATTTAGTATGGGTTGAATTAGTAATAGTATATTATAACAAATTATTTTATAGTATTATAACAAATATAACTTTTATATGCAAAATAAATTTTATTTATTGATAACTCCAATCGTATAATTAAAATTTATTGTTATATATGCGATATCATTAATATTTTTAAGATACTTAGGTATTATTTCTCAGGAAATATTTTAAGAATTATATAACAATTTTCTACATTTAAGCAGTATAAGTATATCCATTGTTTTGTGTTACACTTATATGTATAAATTGAAATCAGCTTTGTTCTATACTATTTCTATTAATTTTCTTCATTTTGTCATATACAATTTTGTTGTATACTGTTTACTAAAACAAGTAACACATTATGAGCTATGATAAAAAATTCTCTAAAATTAATTGAAAACAAGTTTTTATGATCATGATAGAAATAGAGATTAGCATATTATGCTAATCAGGGACACCGCTGAGCATGTTATGCTTTATATTTATGAGTCTACATTTATTCATTTTGTATTGTTTAGTTAAATATTACAACATTAACATATTAAGTATATTATTAATATAGTAAAGCGTGTTTATTTTTTGTGTGCGATGTGTTTATGTGCGGTAAATAAAATTCTTTGCATATCTGTTTTGTGTTAAATAAAACTATAAATAAATCTGAAAGAAAATTTGTTTTATTTTTCAAATCCAAGGAAATAAACATAATCGAAATATGATATATATGTACAATTTAAGATTTTTTTATGAAACCTTGTTTGTTTTCGGGTCTGTACAAAATTTTGTAGCTCTTATTAAAGCTACAAAGATATAATGATATAACAAAAATTAATCCATTGAATTATTTAGTTACAAAATAAAAAGTTTCGGATTGAAAATAACGAATATTATATACATAAACGTTTAATTTAGTTGCGAGACATGTAAAGTCATCTCACGAAAAGCATTTATCATTCTCTGGTTTACGCCTTCCGCTGGCTGTTGTACTGCGTGCTCGGGGAAAATCAAGGGATGTGTAATAAGTCCTTTCTAAAGTATTATCAGCCGCCAACGCCATCGCCGTGCTGTTGCTGCTAAGAACGCTTAGATGGGGACGATCTTAATTATCACACGACGTTCCGAGTAACGAGGGTTGGCACGCGATGATGTAATGCACGATGCTTAAATAGCTGGGACTATTGTTGTACATAGATACAACGCGTACGTCGGATCTATGCCGAGGCATTAATAGTCTCGCATGACGTAATTAACTCGCGGCCGACGAATTTCCGGTATTACATGCGTGACGTATGTCTAGAAAGGTGTTTCAGGTTTCATATCGGAAATGATCTCGCGCTCGACGATACCCGGTTGAGCCCTTGAGGATTTGTCAAAACTTCATTTACTGTTATTTATACAGATATATATATATGTATATATATATATATATACACACACATACACATACATACATATATATACATATCAATATATATTTATACACATACAAATATATATATACATAATAAAATATAAAATTGGGTGAAACATAAATAAAAATGCCTTTTTAGAACTATACAAGTATTTATACATAGAAAAATATAAAATGAGATTCTATACCTTTTATGATAAACAGATCTATATATATTAGCTTCTTATAATAGCCTAGTTTTATTAAGTTTTAATTTTTAGTTAAAATTAATTATTTAATTTAGCTTTCTCAATTGCATTTTTCAATAATATTAAATGGACGGAAATATTGTCTCATGGACGGATTATTTAAGGTACTTAAATGTTGACTTATTTAGCTAGATCAGAAACAAAAGTATACTCGTTGGCAGATTTCGGAATCGATTTATGTTTCATTATAATATTTTCAAAAATATTTATTTATGTAAATAATTTGTATACTTCGCAAAAAAAAATTTTTTTAACTTCTTAATGTTTCCTTTAAAAACTATATGCAATAAATTAAGAATAAACTTTAAATAAAAACTTTGAATAAAAAACAGCAAAATAGTTTATATGCTGGACTTTTCATTTGTAACTTTGTTAAAAAACAACCGACTCCGAGATCCTCAAAGCATACATTTGAATTATAGTTTTCGGGGTTATTACTTTCGCGCGATCTGATATTTTGTTACAACAACAATGGTCCACATATTACATCGTTCTTACATTGATCTTTTCTGATTGTCCACTGTTTTCATCTCTCGAAATAAAATCTGGACACCTATTTTTTATTCATATAAAATAAAACAACGTAATAACGACACCGCACGCGGTGATAAGTAGTGATAGTGTTGTGGACACTAGACTGGATGCTGCATTGCACGAGTCTTCAGAGCAATAACACTCCTGCCAGTAAATACCGTTCTCGCGAACGCCCCAATTACAGACTCCTGTAACTCCTGTGCTAGAGACGGAGGCACATCGTCTAATTACCTGTCGCCATCTTCCGTCCCCTTAAACAATTAATTAATTAATGCGTTAGCGCACAAAACATCTGTTGTTGTGCAAATATTCACAAGCTCCACTTTCAGTGTTATAAACGCAAAGTAGTCCTTAATACCATTGACACGTTTGACGTTAGATATATGTTTTTTATTAAAAAATAAGATAATTATGATAGTTATACCGCACACCATCCAGCCCGTTCTTAAGCCTTGATATGTATTACTACATTCCCCACACAGAACAAGAACTCCATTAGATGTCCATTAGACGTCAACAGCTCCATGCGATGTTTAATAGATTTCTAATGGATTGTTCGCTCTGTATAGGATATTTTTAGCAAATATACTTACAAATAAAACCACGTGGGCTTTGTTCCGTGTATTTGACGCAAAATGTGCCAGGCATGTGTGATTCTTCGCTGCTGCATTCAATAGGCACATTTCGCTCTTTGTCAAATGTGGCATAGGCTCCACAAAGATCTTCACCTTTCGGATCGGTATCAGAGCTGCATTGAAAACAGCGTATCGCCTCCGTTGCTGCAATTGAAAATAAAACAAGATTAATCACATTTGCTAACTTGCAATATCTAAGTATTTGAAGAGAACAATCAGAGCAATTTAGTAAGATTGATCAAAACCTGACTCAATTCACAGTAAATTAGACGCATTCTCACGTATCTTATTAAAGCAAATTTTAAATGATGAATGAGAACTATAAATTGTAACCTTCAAACATTACTAACACAAAATATTTTACGTTTTACTTTTCTGAAATATTCTAAATAAAAACTTTTTTTATCATTTAATTTGCTACAGATTTTAATTCTGATTAAAATAACATACAGCTTTGTTAAAGCATCTACATGCGTGTTTTTCCTCAATTTTTTGCAAATTATTTACTATACTTAACAAATAGAATATAGAAAATTTTGAGATAAAGATAGGATTGAGAAAAGATAAAAGATGACCGTCGAAAAACTGTCGATTGTTAAGAAAGAAAAAGATATCACGCCCATTCGTAAACAATCATACAATTCGTTTTCAAAGATGGCGCACTTGCCAAGATATTTTAGATTCGATTGTCGCAAAACTCTCACCTGCTGCAAAAAACAGCAACAATACACATAATACATCCGCGATATTGGTGCGCATGATTTTTCGTTACGTCGCTCGGTCGAATTTTCTTTTCGGAGCGAGTAACTGATGCGTCGTTCTTCTACTACTTGGAACACGCGCACTGCACGTAGTAGTACGCACTTGACGTCATTCACATTGGGCGTAAGGCGTAACCAGGGCTGACAAACTAAGAAGAGAAACACGAGACTCCAGAATTTCCCTATAAAATCCAAGCAACGCTTATCAAATTGTATGCGTGTGTGTGTGTGTGTCACGCCACATTTTTTAATTACACATTAGAGATATCAAAAATATTAGTAGATATTAGTAAATATTATGGTAATGTGTTTTTTCTAGATTTGCAACCGATTCTATTTTACAGTTTTAGTTAATTTTTATTCATTTGACACACTATTATTTCGCTAAAAAATTCAATATTATTTTTTGCTAGCAGAATCTTCTTTATCCCTACGATTGCAAAAATAAAACGTCATCCTTAAAAATTAATTGTTTTCTGATTGATCTTTTTTGGGGAAAAACTTGAGACAGACTACTTGTCCATTTTATTACGCTCAATTTTTTCTGTTTTCATTCATCTTCTGAATATTCGAGAAAAATAATAAGTCAGGTTCCAAAAGCAATCACAATTATCTGATTTTTTCTATAATTTAACATCTCTCTTTCTATAATTAAACATTTGAGTTTCGAACTCGAATATTTTGTAGCGCGAAGTAATATTTTTATTTTTGAGATAAGACTGACAATCAGTGAAATATATGTTTTTTAAGATGCGGAAGGACAGGGCGAGAAGAGCTCAGTCATTTATATCTCTTTCCCGATGAAAACGCAAATATAAAGCGGCAAGGTGACATTATTGCAAACTGCTGCAAGTCGCGAACAAACGTTTTGTCTCGAGGGAGCACTCGTCGCTGGCGCGTTCAGACGCGCTGTTCAATCGTGTCTTATCTGTCCCGCGTCGGTCTTAGAACGTTTCAATTTGTTCGAGCTTACGTCGCGAGGTGCCACGCTAATAATGATGTAGAAACAACGTCAGATTTGAAAACGAGAGACCTTTTAGGACATAAAACTCTTATAAATATGCGCGCAGATTATAGTTTTTGTAATAATTTGTAATAATAATCTATATCAATAATAAATGATGAATTAACTTTTTCGTTTTCAAATGAAATTATTAATACATCATTCTCTCCTAGAGTGTATCTCTCTACATAAATTCTCAATAATTTTAATCGCACAGAAAACTCATTTTTTTTTTTTCAATCTCACTGTTCCCATCAATCTGCACTTTCCCTATCGCGAAAAGACGCGTTCGCAGCCGTTGAACGAGTATTTTCCCGTGATTGGAAGTAAACTCGATCCCGCCGCAACCTTGACACCCCTCTCTTGGCACTTCCGCGCGTAACAGATAGCTCTGGCAAATTATTCAAAACGTACCCTCTCTATGATCTATGGAAGCGCTCCTAAGCCTGGCACCGGCAATCTATTCTCCCAGCCTACCCTTCTTCAACCTCTCCTGCCCCCCTTTATCCCGTCGACTGGCCTGTCCGTTCGTACCACAAAACTCACCCACTTCTCACTCTTTGCTCTCCACTCTTCTACAGCCTCCCTCCAGATCTCGCCGTCTCCTCATCACCCTGTTTTCTCGGCTTCCTCTCCAACTCGCCCTCTTGCTTCGACTCGCCTCTGCTGCTTCTTCTTCATCTAGCGAAGCATCATCCCCGGGGGAATTTCGACTTTTCTGACAGCCACCGCCGCATTTATCCCATCCAACGTCTTTGGACGACGAGCTTACAAAGACGCCCCGGAATCCAATAAGTCCGATAACGCGTGAGACTTGCGCGAGTGTACACAACCCGGCCATCAAAGCGATCAAACACTCCGATAATCGTCAAACGTATCGATTGCGCGTCGATTTACGTACACATTTTGTCGTACAGATATATTAACCAAACTTAAATAGCCGCGTTGGTGTCTCTCGAGATTTCTAAGACGCTTTGTTACACATAATTCATAAATTTTGTAGGCGAGATTTAAATAAAGCAAATCAAACGAGCATGAAATTTAAGATTATCAATTTAATTCGTTGTTAGGACATTATTGCCAGCACATTCAGAGACGCAGCAGCATCCGCTTATACGCAAATATGACGGAACGCGACATTTGCGTTTACGTGAGGGACACATCGATCCACCCCGCGTTGTCGCGTTCCGCCAAATACGATTCCATCGGAAAACGATAAAGAGGCATCTCTGCATGCATGCTCGCCCCCGCAAACGTCCGGGAAGCTGCAAATCGATGGGGTGCGTATTTTATTTAAATTCGCGCGACAGAACGAGAACGAAAGAGAACGCAGGAAAGAGAGACAGAGAAAGAAGAAAAGAGAGAGAGAGAGAGAGAGACGCAAATTTGCAATTTCAAAATATTCCGGCGAGTCCACGAGCGAAAAAGGGAGTGCCACGAAGAAGGAGGAATGAAGGGATTTAAATCCCTTTGCGTCATCCTCGTCCCGACGCAATTGTTATTTTAATTCGACTTTTTGTCATTAGCCAGCCGCTAATTCGGCCAAACCCGCCGCGCCTCCGTAATGCTTCCTTATCGCTGTCCTTTTTCTCTCTTCATACCGACTTCTCCCCGTCTTTCTCCTGGTCGCAGTCTCATTAAAACGATGTCAGATTGGCGGCCGGAGTGCTCAGACGTTTGGAGTACATACAGCTTCCGACAGTTTATTTGAGAGCGGAAAAATTACTCCGTCATCGGACGGTTTCTCCGCTTCTCGTCCGAAAATGTGCATTTTACCGATTTGGCAAATTAATTCACAACGCGAAAGTAGCTTTTCGCAGTTGCCAGACAGATTAATTGTTTATAATTACTTATTTATAAAATGACCGATGAGTATTGTGTACCGACGTATTACTTCAATTATGGAAACATAAAAAAATTTAAAAAAACAAACAAAAGTACTTATAGATTTTTTGTAGTTACAGTAATAAATATTAAAACCTTGGCAAATAATAAGGCTGAATACAGATTTCCGCTTCAATTCAAGTCAAAGAAAAAACAATGACTCGATGTGTTTTTTACCGTATCTTTTATCAATTAATGCGTTTATATAGCGTATAATAAAAATATATAGACTGAGTGTAATAAAAATATATTTTCTTTGCGAACATCCGTTCGTATTTCGACACATAAATGCACGCAAAAGAGTAGAGAAGCCGAGAAAATGAGGGAAAATAATATATCCGCACAGCCAATGAACGGACAACGACGCCGACGCGTCGCGACGACGCGACGGGGCTGCAGTTATACAAAAGCAATGACGACCTGACCCGCGGGCACGTTGAATATTTCATAGAGAGTAGCCACCATGGAGAATCACCGGTGTTCGACCATCTCCCTTTTCTATAAGCGCGCCATCACTCTTCAATCTTAAGCTCGTCTCTACACGAATGAAGTTCCCACAAAAGAATGCAGAATCAATTTGTTTTTTTTTTTTTTTTTTTGACCTTTTAATACTTCGCATGTCTAGAAAATACTCGAATTCAATAAGATTTGTCAGACAGATATGGTTTTAATTGATATCAAAAAATGAGATAAAATTCGTTCTTATTTTGCAATTTACTGCAAAGATTTATTGTGAGATAATAAAATTTTGCAGTTAAGCGCATAAATAGGAAAGAAATCGAAGCTAATTGTCACACACAGCTAATATATCTAGCTCATTAAATACAGGAAAATATTTTTGTTTGTAATGTAGCTAGGTTGCTAACTATAGTTCTAGTCACATGTATGAAATAACTTTTATTAAAACCACGATGGGGCATTTACAAGCACTTTGTAAAATTGGATGTGGCGAGTAAATTTTTTTACCTCTAGTTTTTAATTATTTTATTGGTTTAAAAATTTTCGATCGCAATTTTTTCCTTATAAGTATAAGAAATGTGAATTTTAGATAATTTGTTCTATAATTATTTTTAATCATCATTGCAACATAGTTTATAAATAATTATCTTTTATTAAAAATGAACGTTTGGGATTCCAATAAGACGGGATTAGTTGTCACATCGTGAGTATGCGCATGAAAGTAATTGCGGTTTCGCGCGTTACCTCAAATAAAGTACAACATTTTTAAAAGTCATTACATTTTCTTACATTAAAGTATCATCTATGTTTGAAAGACTTACTTAATGTAAACGTTTATAAAAATTACTTATAAAAATTGTTCTTTCTATAAATATACAGTTACTGATGTTGTTTTTATGTATTATAAGTAATACTTGATATATATTTTTATATTAACTATAACAAAACATAAAAACAAAAAGTACTTTATAATTCTTTCATATAAAAGACATGTGACAATCAATTTTGAGTAAGTTGGCAAATTTGCACGATTGTGCTTAGCACTAAATAAGTTTTTTATGTAAAGATACGTGAGAAGATCATTTTCTTAAAACTAAAGAATGTGACTAATATGAAATATATCTGATATTACATAATATTGCGTACATTTTGTTTTTCTTCAAATCATTTTGGATGTCTCTTTATGCTCCAGTCTCCTCTACTCAGCATTGACGTGTGAGCAATCGGCCAATTGCACTCGAGTATTTTCTAACTATAAGAAAAACTAGAAAGATTCTAGCTAGCATTCTAGCCAAACCTTTTATTTCTCACTGCATTATCTAACGTACCGCACATGCCTGATGTGTATGGTGCACAGTATGGGTCCGTAGCATGCCCATTTTCTATTTCTACATTTTTCCACGTGGTAGACGAGCTAGCGATTCTTAGGAAAACTTCTCGGCTGGTAAGTTTAATCTTTTAACAAGTGTACTATCGTAAGATGTTTAATATTGTTGTTAATATTTGCTCATCTAATTGTTTTATTTATATATTGCAAACAAATAACAATTAGCATAATTTGTAACACGAGAAAGCTTTGGATAAAACAAACTATGTTGATTTCCACTCAAAGAATTCATCAAGTTAATTGAATAGTATTTACACGTGCTAATTTTTTACACATGTGTTATTTTTTTACAAATAATTCAAACTCAAGTGTTGTGAAGTGTTTTAGAAAATTTTGGACTCTATTGAGAGACGCTAGAGGTAGTGAATAAATTTCGAACCTCTCATATAAGGAGTGTCATTGCAAGTCAAATTTCATTTCAGCAAAAAGTTTAGGAATTGAAAAACCGTCTCGACTCTCTCTATTTATTATGACCTCAGTAACTATTCATTTTCAAACCTTAGTAAAATTCCGCTGGTTAAAAAGAACATACGGTAACCTAAAGTATAGATTAGATAATAAACCTAAAGTATAGATTAGATAATAAACCTAAAGCATAGATTAGATAATAAACTACATATAGTGAATATAATTCAAAAATTTTGAAAAGTAGAAATTACTAATTTTGCTATGACACTTTTTATATGCTTATACGTCGTATTTTTGCATGTTACATTATGACATATAATTGTACAGGTTTCTTTATATCCAAGAAAAATTAGCGTTTGTAATTCCAACAATCGATTTGTTTAGGAAGATGAGAATCTACCTGACTCTTCGTATTGTTCGTAATTTGAATTACGACGTCGTTCGTAATTTGAATTAAATTAAATCTCTCTTGTTACGCGCGGCTTTGTTGTGCGTGAACTTGACACTACCGTGTCCCTTGATATTTATAAATTGACTTTATTTTTCCACTTGACATTTCAGTTTCTTTCGTTTGCCTATATTTCTGTTTTGTCTTTCTAACTTATTCCATTTTTCAAACAGTCGTGCTGTGTAGATTCCACGTGGAAACTCTTCCAAGGAATAAGCAGGATTTGTAAGTTTTTATCAATTTTTTAATTATATTTTAATTTTGCGCAGATGTACCGCACAGATTTGTTTTCGTTTTTACTCACGTTTTCACTTTTAGAGTTTGTTTCTCATTTGTCTCACGTCACGATAATAAACTAACGAGTTGCAAAAGTAAATGTAATTGATGTATCGTCTGTTTCGATTATTCGATCTTTTTGTATTTCTTAACAAAAATCGTTATCATCGATTAGTTAACGTTTAGGCTTATGTTCTTCTCGAATTTGTTAGCGATCAAGTGACCGTTTTGCGATTGATAAAGTATTTTCATAAACACGTTTGAAGGAAATAAAACGTTTTAGATATACATATATTTTTACCGACACACGAAACGAAAACAAATCCGCACATCACGCACAGTTTTAGTAGAGGCATATATAGATTGATATACATATGTTTATAAAATATACGCACAAAACCATGAAATATTTTATTTTGACGTGTGATATTTGTTATTCACAGTTTTATCGTCTATCGATAAAATTGAAAGAGAGAAAAATTTTTACGCGGACGTACTTAAAATAATAAACAATAATAAAATCATAATTTTGTGCAAACGTTGTATGCATTGTTATAACAAGTTATTATCAAAGCTCAGAAAACTTGGATGTTTGACAACCGATCGATCGTTTTCTATTGCACGTGAATTAGAATCGGTTCTACAAATAAAGCGGTTCTCCAGGCGTTAGAATATAGGCGCGATATAGTGTTATTAAGGTTTTACTTACTCAACGTAAAACTTTCTTAATCTAATTTTTGTATACATTATTGTAATAATAATGAATTTTTTATATTTTTTTTCTAAGAACGATACAGTGCTAAAAAAATATCCTCACATCAATATGAACACCAATATGATTTTCCCTGTAAAAAAGGTATTCATTACAAGATAATATGTATGTAATAAAATTTAAAATACAATAGTATTAGTACTAACATATATATATATATATATATATATATATATATATATATATATATATCACGCAAAATACATATATATATCACGTGTATTTGTTTTTCAGATATGTGACGTAAAAGAAAACTCAAGCTATATTCTCAAACCACAGCATGTACTTCCACTTTCTAACGAACATGTCGGAGAACTGATTCTGAATGAACTTCGATCTGCACCGAATTTTATTGGCCAGGTTTAAAATAAAAATTATCTGCAGTTGTCTTTTAAAATAAAAATTATCTGCAGTTGTCTTAATAATAAAATTTGTTATATTATTTAGATGTAGAAAAATGTCTATCAGAAACAATATAGAAACATATATATGTAAGCAGTATCACAAAAATTGTGTGAAAATTAAATGATTTAATTAATATAATTGATTATAGATACATGCGGTGACGGGACAAGCAACCACCTTCCAGGAAATGAGAGAACGAAGTGTGAAGTGCGCATTATGGTTAAGAAAAGTAGGCATTAGCTCTAACAAGAAAATGGTAATATGTACGAATAACATAATGGAAGCCTATGTGCCATTCCTAGCGGGTTTATATAACAATATTATTGTGAATATTTGGGATGTGAAATATTGCAACGGTACGTTGAAATAATATTCTTTTGAGTATTCACAAAAATGTTTACGAGTTCTTTGTTAAGTTATTTATATAAGTAAATATTTCTCTAGATAATATACGATTGCTTTACTTTCTGACGCAAACTTGTCCAGACATAATCTTCATCGACGATATTAATGTAACAGTTTTACTCTCTGCTATTTTGATCTTACAAAAACATAATGTAAAACTAAATATTCAAAACATTGTGGTCATTGGAAAATGTGATCTGGAAGAGAAAGTCGATATCTTCGAGTCGATTATAAATAATGACTTTGATGCAAATGAGCTCGACAAATTTGCATGCGTCGAGTTGAAAAGTACAATGGATATAGCGGTGCAAATGTTTTCCTCTAATGCAATAAGCTATCCCGGTAACGCGCAAATTCCTTACGCAGCTTTTATCAGCCCCTCAAATAATAATACACCTACCATGTGTCGTGATGAGGTTGGTTTATGGTTTGGTTCTCTATGTTGGACTCATAGTTTGCTGTTAACCGTTCGCTGTATACTTTCACATGTAACAGCGATCAAGTACTTGTTATTTTCTGAGGCTATTATGTATCGAATAATAGAGAAGTACAAGGTAATCAAAAAGAACATTTAAATTTTAATGAAAATAAAATTTGTATGCACGTTTTATCTCTTGTAAACACGCAAATACAGGTGAATTGGGTGTTCCTTGAAAGCAACATGTGCTACAAGTTTTCTCGGCTACTACGTACTGCTGTAAATCGGTATAATCTTTCTTCCCTGAGACAACTTTTATTTGGTGACGTACAGATCTTAAACTTTATTCAGAAATACATAACTAACACACTGAACAATGTTGTCATCACTCAAGTATACTGTACGTACACATTAAAAAACAGTGATAGTTTTAAATTAATTAATTAAATTACATTGATACGATTTATACTGTCTTTTAATTACGAAAGTAAAATGACAAAATTTGGTGAAGCGTTGTACATTTTACTGTTCATTATTAAGATGCGATGTTAACGTTTGACGATATTCACTGTCTAAAATGGAAGTTATACGATATTTCAGGTACATCAGAAGCAGGTGTAATTGCATATCAACGAAGCAACGACGCGATAGGATCTTGCGGTTATGTAAGTAACAATGTTAAAGTGATGATCATTCATGAGGAGACAAGAAAACTAGTAGGCTCAAACGTTAAAGGTGAAATTTGGTGCAAGACTCCATGCATAGCACCTAGTTCTGTTACAGGATGTAAATCCGACGTGTCGAATGGTTTGTTACAGCTTTTCTTAATTCAATATCGTATTTAATTTATTATGAGAGAAATAAGGTCAAAATAATTGCTACATGTATGTGCGGAATATTTAAAGTTTAAATTGAAATATAAATTAAATTTAATTTGAAAATCTACATATGTTGGATGTTTGATTGGTATCTCGTATATAGAAACAACTCTTTCTTACTTTCTTCCCTCTCGTGAATTTAATTTAAAAAATCATAGCAAAACACCTTGACGCCTTATATTTGTTTTAATACTAATATGGTTTTGCAATTTTTTCATATAATATAATATAATAATATATGAAAAACATTGCAGAACCATATTAGCAAGAAAATACATAGTCAAAAAAAATTTATATGGATGGCATAATTTAGGATGGTTTTATACCGGAGACTTTGGTTACTACGACAAGGATAAAAATATGGTCGTTTTGGAAAAGGTAAACAAAGTTATTAAATACGAAAAGCACTACCTCTACCCATCAAGAATAGAAAACATAATAAAGTGTCGTTTTCGAGATGCCGTATCCGACGTTGCTATAATATCTCATCCGTGTGATCATCACTGTCTTTTAGCATATATTAAAAAATCACCGAACTCAGAGGTATAAAGCTGAGACTTTTCTGACAAAATTGTGCAAACTGACAATGTTTAATAAAGATTTTATTTTATCTAGGTGACACCAAAGCAACTAATTGACCTGATACTAAACATTGAAACCAAGTGTCCTGCAATTAAGATATACTTTCTTAAATACGATATGTCATATCTTCCCAATGGACAAATTGATCGAGCACGGCTTTGCAAACTACCAGTTGAATATTAAAAAACCGATGTGACTTTGCACCTTAGAGCATTGTATTTGACTTTATCGTATTCACATCTGTTTTCCCACTCTTTTCAATTCCATAGTTGTTTCTTGAACTTGATAGAGAGTACAGATCTCTCTGAGATCGATTGTGATATGTTCCTTAAAAGTAAGCAAATTAATAGAAAACGTGAAGAGTGAGAAGATATTATTCTTAAGTATATCATTAGATATAAACAAGTCAATGTTTCAAGTACAAAAAATCTCGCCGGCTTTGAAATTTACGTAACTGTATAAAGTTTTATAATAAATGAAAATGAATAAATAGCAATAGCCTATCTCTTATTTATAACCCAGAAAATTACACATTTTTAAATCAAAGAAACTCTCTAAAAAAAAAACATTATGCGATATTCCATAAATATCACTAAAATCTATTGGTATTTTAGTAATATTCACGAAATATCGAATGCGATGTTTTTCGAGAATCAACAGCCAAGTCAGGTGGCTTTGGAATTTCTCCCACCTTAAGCATACGGAAGCAATGTATTCAGGGAAAGGGAAATTTTAGGCCATACGAACACAACGTGTGAAGATAACAAGTCAGTTTTTGTTTTAGATCGTGGCTTCTTGACTGAACAGTGACAACTGTGCAAGTAAGTAAATTTATTATTCAATATGTATCTATTTTGCTGCTATTTTGAGGCAAATTTTGTCTCAAAATATAGATTATTATATTGAGTTTATTTTCTTTAATAATTAAGGTTATCTCACACATAACACAATAAAAGTATTTCTTATATATCAAAAATTTAAATTTAACTTTACAAAATCACTATTTTGTTAAATACAAGAAACAGGATATTTTTTATACTTATACAACAAAAAAAATATAAACAAATATAAACACAAATATACTTATACAACTCTCTATACTTATACAACAAACTCTATACTTATACAACAAACTCTATACTTATACAACAAACTCTATAATTATACAACAAAATATAAACAACATATAAACAAATATTATTAATTTTGAATATAGACTGTAACGAAAACACATGACATTCAATTGCGTATGGTAAATAAGGTAAGACACTATCATAATCTTCTCTAGCAACTGTGGAAAATCATAAATGACATTGTAACATATAATCATGGTATGAATATTTCATTCAAAATCAAAAGCAAAATAATTGTAAGCAACGAAGATCGAAATGATGCAACTGTAAAGAAAATTTAATTTATATTTTTCTCTTTCAATGTAGTGAAGAAAACAATCAATGTGCGTTTATTTTATCTGTTTAATAACAAAAATACAGAACAGATCTACTTATTGCATCCAAAATGGAAAGTACAGAAAAACAAAAGGTAATCAATAATGGTATAAATAGTAATAATAACAAATATTGATACATATTAATATATATCACACACAATTAACTTTTTCTATAAAATTATAAATAACATTGTTATACAGATTGACATCCTTTTTTAGTTTCTCGTAGTCACTACACTAGAACGTACGAAATTTACAACTAAAAAAGATCCAATTGATTTTAATGCAAATGTTGGAGAAATGATATTAAACGCATTTAAATGCAAGCCAGATTTTATTGGACAGGTAATATATCTACTTTATAAGTTTACATATCACACACACACACACACACACACACACACACACGTTCGTATATACAAATAATGCATTTCTTAAAAATACTTTGCCACACTTTTGTTTAAAATGCATTCTCTTTCTTTCTTTTTTTTTTTTAATATATGATTTTCTCTGATTGAATATATTCGGTGACATGAACTGACGATAGATAGACGCGAATACGCAGCAACAAACGACATTCCAAGAAATGAGAGAAAAAAGTATAAAATGCGCATTATGGCTAAAAAGTAACGGTATTTCTGCTAAAAATATCGTGGCAATATGTACGCACAATGAAATGGACGTGTATGTGCCGTTTCTGGCTTGTTTGTACTTGAATGCTGTTGCATACATATGGAACAATGTTTTCTTTGATCGTAAGTTGGCTCTGTTTTTTATATTTTATTTTTGTTGATTATAATGGCTTATCTTCACTCTGCTTATCATAAATATCATTTGCAGACAACAAACCTCTCTGTTTATTATGGAGAACAAATCCAGATATAATATTTATTCAGGATTGTTATGTTTCGCAGTTGTGCAAAGCTATTAGAATGTTACCGAAGTATGTAGATTTACTTTCTGAAAAGAAAATTGTGGTTTTCGGCGCTACAGAAATGTTCACATCATTCGAAAGCATTATGTGCACATCTGTTTGTGTAAAAGAGATCGATGAGTTTTCATGCACGAAATGCCTTCTACGGAAAACTGCAATGATAATGTATACTACCAATAATTTTGGCTACATGGATGAGATACAATTTCCTTACATATCATTTATCAGCCCGTCGAATCAGTACCCGCCAAAAATGAATTTCGGAGGTATCGGATTGTGGTGTGAACCATTTTGGTGGACTTATAGTCCACTTTTGACCGTTCGTGCTATACTTTCGTACGTAACAACGATAAAGACATTGGCAACTATGTATAATATAGAAGTCATATATCAACTTATAGAAAAATACAAGGTATACAACTTAAACTTTTCTCTCTCTCTCTCTTTATGCTTTGTAGAATCTAATAAAAAAGTCTAACATATATCTGTGACATATACACATATTTACACAATAATACACTTTTACGTAGGTGACTTGGATATTTCTCAAATACAGTATATCGCTTGAAATAGAAACAATAGAGAACATTGTACAACAATATGACATTTCTTCGCTAGAACAATTTGTGTACCACTGCCCAAATGCAAAAAATATAGAAATTATAGAAAAACATACAAGCTATCTGCCATACTCTGTTGCTTGCATTCGTGTATACGGTGTGTAGAGAAAAGATGAAAGAATACTTCTCTAAACAGTCACTTGGAATAATAACATAATAGTATTAAATCTTATGGAACACTGCTTCAGGTGCACCGGAAATAGGCATAATCGCTAGTGACGCGAACAACGGTGGGGGAATGTCAAAAGATAATCATGTTATTTTCTCTAATATCAATAAAAACATTGAATTGATAATTGTTAGTAACAAAACTAGAATGATAATAGATCCTTGGATTTACGGAGAGATATGGTGCAAATCACCGTGCTTGATATCAGCTAATAATAAAAATGCAAGACTTATTTTGGGCTTGAATGACTATAAAACAGGTTTGTTACGCCTTGTTTTTCTGAAATCTTTTATTCGGCTAGTATATTTACTACCGCAGTCGAAAATAACAAAACCAATCAATAAAAAAGAACTAACAATATAAATTTAATTGTGGCTTTTAGAATGGTTCTATACTGGAGATGTAGGCTACATAGAAAATGGAATCATTTTTATCTACGACAAAGTTAGTCGTGTTTTATATGACTGTTACTTTTCTGAGCTTAATTTTCAGTTGGAATTACAAAATAATCCTAAAGTGTCCAACGTCGTAGTGCAGTTTGTATCTTCTAGAAGTGGTCAACGTCCAGTAATATATATTTGGCCAAAGCCGGGTGAAAAGGCAAATATAGAACTTCGTTACTTACATTAAGCAACTTACGTTATAAAACTTTTTTACATTTTTGTGTATCGCAGGTGACAGAAGAAGAAGTGCGAGAAACAATAAAAAAAAATATAGATCAACATTTATCACATTGGTCAATAATACGCATCGTTAGAGATGACTTACCGCTGTATCCTGACGGGGAAATAAATCAACGAAGAGTTCAATCAATCGAATATGTACGTGATATGTGCAAAAGATCGGATGCAAAACGAAGTTGTAATTTATGTAATTTTTCGACAAAAAGAAATTGCGGCACGATAAAAATCTAAATTATAAAAAAACTGCGAATTATTGTAATATTGTAATTGATAAATAAACAATTTTAAATTCAATAACGAATTCAAAACATTTATTTATGAGTTGTATCATAAATAATTGTTAAAGAAGAAAACTGTCATAGAAGCAGAACGATGTCAAACACAATGACGAATTTTTTCACGTTGCTACGTGATAAATGAGCGGATTGTAGGATATAATCCGCGAACATTATCATAGCGAGACTATTATTGGCCGTTTATCGTCAATTGTGACATCTCACGTTAAACGTGAATAAAAGATAAAATGCATTGAACGCGCGACGGAATGCACACACACACAAACGCGATAGTAATGGTTGTCAATAAATCGCAGTTCTTAATATCACGCATTCACGAACAGCAGATGTACGTATAAAATATACATCTGTTATGTGGCTTATATGTAATATATAAATGTATATCTGTTGACTTATATATATGTATATATAACATATACAATATAAAATATTTTATACACAAGTATACTAAAACATTTTGCGAGCAATATTTTGTGAATTAAATAATATGGAAATGATTAAAAAAATCTTCATCAAAAGCTCTCGTATAATATACGGCATACATTTTACAATCCAGCAATAATCCTATTCCTTAGAAGTAAAATAAACGTCACGACGCGGTGAATCCGCTCGATCGGTTAACTTTCGGTGTAATACGACTTGCAAAACGCGCGAGATACGGACGTTGTTTAAAGTTTAACGTACCGTCGCAAGCTCTCGCGCGAGAACTTGAGCCCACTGGTATCCGCCAAGTTTCTACTCGAAAGCCTCTCTCTGCAGATTTACACTCTGTACAATTCGCTTGCATGCGTTAAAAACAACGGTTGCCTTTGCGCCTATTCTAAGGTTGATTTTGGAACCGATGGTGTCGCACAAAGCCGGACGAGAGCTTTGGTGTAAACTCGCACGAAACAAAGAGAACTTTCGTGACCGGCCGCCCAGACTGGTCATAAATATTCTCGAACAAGATTGAAGCAATAAATTCGAAAACTTTCTCGATCGCCAGTGTTTTAATGGACGACGAGTCTTTAGCGGTGCCCGGCCGCAAATTGCATGCGAGACTTCTAACCGAAAGCTGTGATAAAAGTGCAGCAATAGGTCCACACTTACGTGTACATCACGATATGTAATCTGAATTCTATATTTTGTAATTTTTTATTTGAGATATGAAAAAATAAAAAAATTGAAGAAAAATTTACATTTCTCGCGTAATTTTAAAATGTACCAAGTAAGTAATAAGTAAATAAACTTCTCTAAAAAACAATACTATACATATAAAGCGCACAAAGTCTTTGACAATATCGAGAAAACGTCCACGGTCTTGGTTTTTTGCATTTATACGTAACAAATTTCCATGATGTTAAGACGCAAAAAGACTTTGGGGAATACACGGAGAATGAGATTTTGATGCAGTAAAATACAAGTTCGATATCTGGCAAAAGTGCTTTTGATCGTCGATTCGAAACCTAAAAGCGAGTCGAGAGTCAAGTTGAGTCCCGACTAAAATCGTCGAGAGAAAGACGCGCGAGACTTCCGCGCTTATCGACAGCGTGGCGCAATTCCGGCGCAATTCCGATACGTGCTCCAATCGCCTGCACTTCGATACGGAGCATCGCAGCAAATCGATAGGTTACGAGCTGCCTATAGTAGCCGGTGTTGTTCACAGGGGATTCAACGAGGAGAAGAGTCTTATTCCGGCTGGCAGATCGCACCCTCATCGGGTCTTTATAATCAGAAAAATACGTGAGAATGATTTTTTTGAGCAAAAATAAAGACAAAAATACAAGATTTTCACTACTTTTTAATTTAACTATTTTTTTTTTTTTTTTTGATTGAGTATTAATGACACTTGTATCGATTTGACTGACAATAATCAAAAAAGATAAATCGAAAGGATTTTCCAATGCAATAATGATAAGGACGTACGGGAACACAATCGATAGCCAACTGGACACGAATGGGCTAGTTTCAACTGATAGCACTCGGAAATGCCGATCCAATTAAGCCGCGCATTGCGTTCATTCAACGCTAATTTCCGCGAGTTAGGTTGTAGATTGCCATATAATAGATCACGCATTCTCCAACATGGCTCTTGACAAATTACTGGAAAATACTAAACAAATAATTCAATTGTATATTTTACTTAACATCTTTGTGTTTCATTAAATATTTGTTAAATTTTTGTTTTACTAAAAAAATTCTGCAGTTTTAGACATTTTTGAAAACTTGTTTTTTTAGCAAACCACAGCTTCCGAACACTTGGTACAACATAACAGCGTCGCGTATCGTCGCGTGCGCATTAATAATTCTTATCTTTTTATTCGAGATAAGACTCGAAAGAGACAGAAAAGTTCTTTCTCTCTCTCTCTCTCTCTCAAACTGCGAAAATAACGACGAGAACATTTCACAGTTCTCTCTCTCTCTCTCTCTCTCTCTCTCTCTCTCTCTCTCTCTCTCTCAACGATTCTGCCTCATCTCGATCTCTGACTTTCGTTTCTCGGAATGTATTCGAAAATGCAGTGACTTCCGACGTGCGAGCGGAAGTTACGGGGAAAACAGAGTAGAATATTTAAGACGATGGTGCACAGCTAGAAAAGAGAGGCGCGAACGAAGTTTCTCCGAAGCAAAACTCGACGACACGAAAATGGTTGGCGAAAGAAGTGGCGCGGGAAGAAAATGAGGGAAACGAAGAGGGAAAGATCGACGAAGGGTAAAATGGCGAAGGGTAAACGTAGCCGCGTCATCTAAAGAAAAGTAATCTTCCTCTCTTCGCTCCCAAGATGATTTCTTTTTTATCCGACTAAACAAAGCTGATCGACACCTCGTTAGAGAATCATTAGCAACACTATCAGCATCATCGCTTCCAACTTGCGAAATTCGCCAGTTTTGTTCACTTTTTCTTTGTTTTCTATTATCTTCGGTGCGATTAGCACGAAGATCTCTTTGTCTTTTAGAAGTGTACGTGAAGTATACGTGAAAACTTACAATTTTTATTGTTTTTTTTTGTTTAATTAATTTCATTGTTTGCTCCCCGAGAATCTTCTTTGTAATTCTTGTATTTTAAGGTTTATTTCTAGTTTCTCCTGCTTCCGTTATTATTGCACACATGTTACGCAATATTTCCTTGCAATTTCATATATTTTAGGATGCTAGATCAGTGTATTACTTGTTCTACATGCTTATTTGTCATGCTTATTTTAATTGCTGCGATACGATATATCGCTACGACGGTGATATGTTTGCGCGCAAGACGCCAACGAGGTCTCGCCTAATTACGGTCTAGGCGAATCTCGCTTTATACACCTATGTCTCTCTCGGTATCCGCTCTCACGACGACAACGACGACGAAGAGATATGTACATGGCGCGTCACGTAATTCTAACTGCGAAAGCAACCGACGAGCTTATTGCTCCAGGGTGCTAAGCTCGAACAAAATATCGTCGTCAAGTGAAGCCTCGTGATAATTCTGATCTTCAATCTTGTTTAATGCATCTATATAATTCTACATCATAGTTCTCATTGTTTTATATATAAATTGTTACTATAAGTAATTAAAAAATATTCGCATCGTAAAAAAAGTAAAGTTTTTATACGTGTAAGTTAATATATTTATAAAAGAATGTATTTTATAATGAGGAATATATTTTATAATATATTTTCTTCAGTTTTCCCTTCCTCTTTGATAAAAAGAAAAAGATAAAAGAAAAGAAGAAAGAAAAAGAGTAAAAGAGAGAAAGAAAAATGAGAGAGAAAAAGTGAGAGAAAAGCTATTACAAAGCAAATAGCAAATAAATAAAAAAAAATGAGAAAGAAAGGACGACAAAAGAAGTGGTAGAAACGGAGGTTCAGAAATTAGGATAACAAAACACATATGTGTGCGTAGGTGTGTGTAATTGGGTTAGGATAGGAATTAAATATAAGTGTGGTGGAGATAAAAATTGGATCAGTAGATGTAAGATAATATAAATGTGTAAGAGGAAAAATAATCTGCGTATCTAAGATAACATATATAAGATTAATCTAATAGGAATATATAGTAAGTAATTAAATTGTTGAAATAGTAAGTAAAAACACATAGAAAGAAATATAAAAAAAAAAGAAACAAAATTATTTGTAATTCCAAAATTATATTTTTCGCGTAAAAGCTTATGATAAAAATTTTCTCTCTTTTTCTCACATTTTTAGAAGTAAACTATGAAAAGATATTATCTAAAGAAAAAAAAAGATTATAACAAAAAAAGAGAAATAATCTAATCTATTTTTTCAATTAAAAAGAGAGCATACGCTAAAACGTTAAGCTCTGTTATTATGTGTTGTCCCGGTGCAACTTTACGCAGCTTCTAACTCCGGCCGGTATCTCGACAAACGTCTCCTTTCATCTGGCATGTCGGAGTTTGTGTTTGTACTCGCTATCGGACGTCCCTCGCGGATTTAACGCGAGCGGGGCGAAGCGCAGACACGGGACATTTTCCGTTCAATGTGGTGCTTGGTGTCTCATAGCGAGGGTATTTTCCAGGATCTCTTTGCTGGCCGAGAACTTGGCGGGAAGGTAAGTCTTATCAGCTGCGCCGGACAACGCCACAATGCCGACGCTAGATCGCCGCCTTCGAAAGGTTTCAGAGTATCAGCTCTATTGTGAGAAAGCCCTCTTTCTGTCTCACTCTTTCAGAGAATTACTTGGTCCTTTTTACTTCTCGGTTTCTCCGTCCTAGACTCTACTTTTGCACTTGAAGAAGCAAAACCGAGAAACCTTTTACAAGACGCAAAGGGATAACTTAACGGACATTGCTTGAATTTTTATCACTCGCGATCGTCTTAAGTAAATCGAAACTTCTTGTGACCACGTGAAATCGAGAAAAGAGAACATTAAAAAAAATTATTTTAATTATTTACTCAGATGTTTTAAATAAATGTCAAAAAGTAATTTGTATGAAAATTATTTATATATATCTATATAGGTCTATATGT